GTGCGTGTTGCTTGCACACAAAGCACCCCGCAATATGGACAGCATAGACTAGAGGACTGTCTGTAACAGCCATTATTTGTTCAATTTGCTGCCATGATAGCCCTTTTTCCGTAATGAGAATAGGCTCAGGGCGCTCAAAGCACTGAGCACTTTGAAATAATACAAAGTGCTTTAGCTGCTTAGCTTGGCTCTTTAATGCCTAACAAGTGAATGAAAAAAAAAATTGTTATACCTTAAAGGAACCAGTAAATTCACCCAGGAATCTTCATCATGTAAAACATTGTCGCTTTGTAGAAACAGTAATGTTTATATTGAAGGATTAATTAAAGCTCTAGTTCAGGGTTAGACGATTTTTGCACTCTAGATGTTGTCGACTACAACTTCCCTAATGCTCTGCCAGCAGTATGGTTGTAAGGGCTTTATAGGAGATGCAGGGCCATCTTTAATATTGATTTGACCCTGGGCAATATTAGCTTGGACCCAGATGCGTAACTAGAAGCCATGGGGCCCTGGTGCGAAAATTACACTGGAGACCCCTCAGCCCCTCAGTGTGTCTCATTCCCTCCTCCCATGTGTCTCATTCTCCCCTCCAGCCCCTACACGTGTCTCATCCTCCTCAAGTGTCTAAATTCCTACCCCCAAGCCCCTCCATGTGTCTCATTCCCCCAAGCCCCTTGATGTGTTTCATCCCCCCAAAGCCCCTAGATGTGTCTCATTTCACCCACAAGCCACTCCATGTGTCTTTCTCCCCCTCCACTCTTGCCTCTCCATGTCTCCCCCATTCTCTCTCCCCTCCTGCAGCCCCTCCATTTCTCTCTCCCCCTACCTTCCCCTGCAACCACTTCATTTCTCTCCCCCTCCCATCCCGCTCCTCAATTTCTCTCTCCCCCACCCTGCAGCCTCTCCATTTCTCCCCCCACCCTTCCCCTGCAGACCCTCCATTTCCCTACCTCTTGTGACAAAACCCACTATTTTGCCTACCCTGGAGCTGTTCTCCCCAACCTCATTTTCCCTGACAAGTGCCTAGAGTTCATTTATACTTTCCCTGCATTCGGTATAATAAACTACCGAACAAACTCACGAACTACGGACCACCTCTGTGCTTGTTAACCCCTGTTAACCTCTCCTGAATCTTCAATCATTGTGTATTCTAATAGTGTGGATGGGTGGCCGCCGTTCGTATGCACGAACACGTGGGAATGGGGTTGGTGGCCATCTTGTTCGCAAGAATGCAGACAGCGTTTTTTCGGCGTCGAGTTCATGGAACCAATATTGGACACTGAAACTCCCGAACACCGCTGAACTTTGACGAACACCTGCTTAGTTCCCACACATGTCAGGAGAGCACCATTTGGTATATTTGTTCGTAGGAACCATACGAACAAACGCTACTAACAAGCCAGAGTGTGCATTTGGTATTTCTTTCGTATGGAACTCCCGAAGGTGACTGGCCGCTACCATTGAATCCCTGTAACTGTTTTGGGCATACTCCTCATGTGCTGTCCGTCAGAACATTACCCCGGTGGTGATTCGGCTGTGTTCGTGGGATCTGAGCACTATTTGGACAACTTGGGCGCTCAGATCCAAGCTATCCGGGGATGTAATATTTGTGGGGGTTCCAATGTATTTAATATGTGTTTTTATGCATTTTCACATTTTGTGTAATTATTGCCGAGTCATGGTGACACTGTAATTTGGGGACATTTTGTGGGAATGTCTATGGGAGTGTCATGGGTGTGTTTGCTGTTTCTCTGTACTGTATAAAAGTGGGCCATTGAGCCCTAATTAAACAGATTTGTGGCGGATAAAGAGCCACAGCCCTGTTAAAGATGGGCTTGAAGAGATGTAGTTGACAATATCTGGAGTCCTTAAGATTACCCATTATTTATTTTTTTACAATTGTTATTTTTATATTGCATCAAAATAGTCATGACAGGCAGACAAAACAAAATTTCGGGGTTAATGCAGGATGCGTGTTGTCGAACCTTATAAACAGATCAGAAGAAATGTTTAACTTAGGATAGGATAAAACATCAAAGGTGGGTTAGGAAATCACGCTACACAATAGTATGGGTTTATGCAGAGTATCGAGAATAATACGAATTTTGTGTGTAACCTTCACAGGTGGGCTTCCACATTATAGCGTAATTGACCATGTGTCAATTACGAGAGAGATATCAGTACTTTTATCATTTAATTTAGGAACAGACTCCTGTAGCCAACCTCACAGCTTCCAGGGCTTCTTGGTTTACTCCGATTGAATGATAATTTAAACGGAGGCATGAGCTTTCATAGAGATGCATTTGTGATGAACTGAGCTTCGTCACGTGTTCTGGAGGGGCCGGCTGTCCAGCTTTTTGCTCACCGACTATGGGCCAAGTCAGTGTCTGTAAAGACCCATATTTTATTACCCCTGGTTCGGCACTTTCCATTTGTGTGCATAGAACCGAACGTTAGCTCCCTGGAGGCCGTTCACATGGACCAAAACTGCAAATAGACTTTAGCTGCGAAAGCCCTGGAACTATTTTCGGCATGAAGACTTCGTGGTTCCCGGTCGTTCTTCAGCAGCACTTAGCTGCGATTCCATGGAACTATTTTCCCATGTGGACTTTGCGGTTCCCGGTCGGTCCCCAGCGGCACTTAGCCGCAATTCTATGGAACTATTTTTGGCTAGGGGACCATCCGTGTGGTCGGTCAAATTATGCCTTCAAGGAAATTCCTGAAACCCTGAGCCGATCTGGGTGATTTTTGGATATGTTGGTCACCCAGATCAGGGCTATCAGGGGGTTTTATATGTTTTTAAGGTACTTTTGGGGTGTTTGGGAAATGTGTGTTTTTTGTGCCTGGAGATAATTGAGTTTAGTACAGTGCTGACTCACTTATCTCCCAGGCACAGGGGAGGGATTGACCTATTTTGTATGGAAGTGTCCTGTAATTGTGTATATGGTTTTACTGTAGTCTACTCTCAGGTCCAGGGGGGGACCTGCACATATGCCGGTTGTGGCTGCCATTAAAAAGATTTGTTTTACCCTTCATGAAGTCTAGGCTCATGTTTGGGGGATTGGAGAGCTATATTCAATCTGGGGACTGCTATAATCACTATACTCCTCTTGTAAGAGCAGCCTGCTTTGCTCTCTGGACTAGGAGAGGTCTACCCACTGGAAGCTGGATCCTGGTCTTGGGTCCAGGGTGGGTGGAGGACAGCGAGACCCAAACCAAGCTGCGGCTGTTTGTGGGGTTTATGGTGGTTATGGTGTCCGGTTTGGTGCTTATGGTACTCAAGGATTAGCAGCAATTGGCGGAGGTACCCAGTCTGTGTGCCAGGGGGTCCATCACATTGTCAATTTAATGTTTTCCTATATGAAGCATCTTACAGGGAAATTGCTGCATCTGGCTGACGCCTTTGTGGCAAATGCAGCAATTGCACCTGAAAAGAAATGGAAATCATCACGGGCAGTGGAGGCTTACAGCAGCAAGAGAGGGTTTACCTCAGGAGAAAGAGCTGAATTTACTTTATTTTTGTCACGAATTGCGTCTGGCATTTAGTTAAAGCCGAATATTGTTTTTTAACATCGGAGCGGTCCTTTAAAACTCCAATCACAGAAAATGATCTGTAAAGCAGATGACAATATAAATGATGAATGTGTTCAACTGCAGTAGCTCCAGATTAATAAAAAGATACAGAGCCAACGTGAAGGTTAACATAAAGCAACAAGCTATTTTAAAGGCATAAAATACAGAAAAAAACAGGCTGCGCCAAATAAGAAATACTAAATAGCCATATACAGATACATATACACAATATTATATATAAAAATATTGAGCTATAACAATATTAAAGAATCCCAGCAAAAAATATATATTTTCTGGAGATAAGAAAGATCAGTCTGTTATCCTCCTTAGTGTTCACTATAACAGTGTCCTGGCAGGGGGGATGTACAGGTGGCGAGGGAGTTGATTTACTGTACAGCTCCCTTGTGCACCCTGCAGTATGCCGGCAGCCGGGATATGACGTCATCCCAGCATCGACATCACTAGAGGACAAACAGACGATCTCTGCAGGGAGAGCACAGTGATCCCAGCACAACCCACTGGCCATCGGGGAGAGTATCCACTATTAAAGTGGGTCCAGTGGAGGCACAATCTATCAGAAAGGACTTGATTAGTGGGCCCACATCAAATGCATGCGCAGTCGTTGGGAGATGAAATAATATAGAAAGTCAGCCTAGTAAATCCTCCGTCAAACAAGAGGGGCAAATAATGCCTTTTAGACTTGTGTGCGGCGGAAAAGTTTGGTTCAGCCGATTAACTTCATCTAAACAAAAATGTTTATTTGGCCAACAGAATATCATTTATGCGCCTGGCTTGTATTGTCTGAATTTGTACATGCAAATGATTCAGACAAATCAAAAGGGAGCAAAAATTCACCAATCATTGGACTTAAAAATACATACAAAATATTCATATGGAATAATTTGCATGTAAATTTGGCTAAATCATGACCAATTACAATGGTATTTTACCCTTCAAATAGTCAGTCAACATTAATTCATTTGAGCATTCATTTAGCATTTGGTTGCGAATTTGAAGTGTTCAGTCTGGCTTACTTTTTGCTTTGATTGATTTAGTTAAATGACTGTCCCTTAACCATTAATCATCTCTTTTTTTGACGCTATGGGCAGAACTTCGAATCACTAATAAACCGAATCAAATCAACCATTGCTGGTTTATTTGTAATTCGACCGTATGGAAATTCATAGTGACGGAATTCAGATGAGCCACCAGTCACCCAAAATTCTAAAGAATATCGATTCAGTCTAATGCCTAATTGTTGTAAACAGATTCCAGAAAATATCTAAACTATTGTCTTAAAACGCAATTTAAAATAGAGAAATTGAAAGATAAAACCGGAAATAAATGTTTAAATTTGGAATATCTATATAAATTGTATCATATTGGTCAATATAGTCATATCTATGTGTATAATTAATGAATCACACCCTGAAGCTGGGCACAGATGCTGCAGTGAGATCTGAAGCCTGTGTCCTTTATCCCTGTTTCCATGACAACCGTTGGGCTTATTCCATGTCGGCACAACACAGAACTGAGCTGAATCGCTCTACGTAACTCTTTCCATCCTCCCTCCATACCTATTAATTTTACTCCAGCCCTTTCACTAAATCCCTGCCTCTTCTCATCCCCCTCTTTTCATTTTTCTGGTTCGATGTCCCCCTCATTCTTTCCCCTTATGACAACGGATTAACCCTGCAAACTTGGAGGTAGGTAGCAGCCACTATCACTCTACTTACATTCCACAGTGTGAGGGATGCAAACTAGCGGATACGAGTTAAATGTATATTGGGCAATCTACTATTATTAATGGGCTAGAGACAAACATCTATGGGGTGATAGAATACAGTATATGAATGTAGATAATAGACAAACATACATCGTGACGCACTGTATGGAGGGCAGATAGAGGTGAAAACATATTGGAAAGGAAGTGTTGGACCATTACACAGACAGATGGGTTAACACACCACATGTAAGAGTCAGATGAGAACAGGCATCGCATTAAAGGTTCGAGGTAAGGATGCATTTGTCATAACACAACAGGCCTTAAAAACCGATGGAATGTTCGTATTGATTGCCCCATATTTAGCATTTTTTCCTAGAACTGATCATATGTGAATGTGATTCTATGGGCTATACATAGCACGGTAAATAGTTCTTTGTTATTAGGACAGATGTAATAAAATAAGAGGTCCGAGAGCTACTTATGAGAATTGATTGTGGGTGTTACAGGTGGCCCTGCTTTTGGGAGCTACAGACTTGGGAAAGAGTGTCTGCAGGAATTCAGATGTGGAAGAATCACAATTCGTATGATTCTCAGCCAACTACAGTTTTAGCAGTCATTTTGTTTAATCGTGAGGGTGTTATTTCTCAATAAAGGGAACGTTGCAGATTGATTACTCCTGATCAATATTATCAATATATTGGCTAATAAATGTGGCATGATCTTAGATGATGTGTATTGGTTTAATATATGTCTTGAAAGGTTTTAGGTGAATGAATATACATGTATGGGAGCAGACGGTGTATATAAATTGCTTTGTATTTCAGAAAATGTATTTCTGTTTCACCCTGGTATCTTTCTTTATGCACAGTGCTCTTCAGCAGCGGAGCATCTTAACTGTGATCCAGATTTATAATCCGTGTTATCTCTCCTCTCCTAATTTGCTGCACCCCTCAGGGTTTGACATTACCCCATCGCCAGCTGCTGAATTCTTGCTTATTATGTCCAGCTGTGATGTTGAATCCTTGGAGCCACTGCTCGGTGCCCTGGAACTTGAATGCAAGATTTGTTACAATGGATTTGATACAAGGCAACACCGCCCTAAAATGCTGGGTTGTGACCATCGCATGTGTGCACGCTGCCTCAAAAAGATGGCTTACACCTGGGGATCGGGTCCACCAACCACCCTCAGCTGCCCGTTTTGCCGACAGGAAACCCCACTACCTGAAGATCTACAGCTCCTTCCAGACGATAGCTGTCTGCTTTCCAAACTTAGCTGCCATGAATGGACCAGAAGGCGTGGCTGCTCTGTGGCCCCTGAAGTGCTCCTAAGCCCTGGGGATCTATGTGGAGGTCCTAGTTCCTCTGAGTGCCTGGTTATCACTATCATGGAGGTAGCTGAAGAACCCCCAGGTCCTGGCGAGGACATGCCAGTGCTGGACATTCTGAGTGTGAAAATCTCATCCAGTTTGGCATGGCTACCTAGTTCTTGTGTCCCTCACCACTGTTGCCCATGCAGACCTGTGCCACGTGTCCTATTAGGCTTCCTGTGCCTCGTGTATTTTAGTTCACTGCCTCTTGGTGTCTATCTCCTTATGATCCAGCAGCTGCCCCTTGGCATTGTTCTGGTCAGCTTAGTGCCATGCACCCTTGTACTTTGTCTATTGTGCCAATGTTTGTGCCACGAGCTAGCCGCAAGTCTATCCGACTAACCCTGGTCTTGCATTCTACCGAACTTCACCACAAGCGCCCACAAATAAGCAATGCCTGTGCATTTTGTCTGTGCTGTGTTCAATCCTGGTTTCAAACCTGTTTCATGTACGTTCCGAACTGTAGTACCAAAACTACACATTGATATTGTGTATTCGAAGGGTGACGTTTATATTTAGGTATAATTAGATTTCTCACGCAGTTCAGAATTTTTTAAAGATTTATTTACTCATTCTGTTCTAGTTCATTGTCTGTATGTCAAATTTACATATTTTTTTGTTATAGCACCAGTCAAAAAATAGTTATATATTTATACGAGCGAGAGAGAACGTTTAGTTTTGTTGAGTAAGAGAACATGCTCCAGTGATTAACATAGGAGCTGAAAGATATAGAGTTGCTCACTGCAAGGCTGTCAAGAAGCATTTAAATAGGCCAGACGCTGCTGATTAAAGGATACCTCAGACTGCCAATGTGTCACAATCCGTCCTATCATTGTGATGCTAAATCCCTTAAATATGCAATATTTTGGACACTGTTTGCCAATCTCTAGGACAGTGCAAAAATCTTTATGTGACCTTTATCTGTGGCAAAAGAAATGGAAGCCAAACCGACTGAAATTGATGTATTATAAAAATATATATAAATATATATAAGTGGTTCATCACAAAAATAAAAAAAAGGTATTAAAAATGACATGATAAAAATAACATAATAAAACATTGACAGTAACCTTATACTAGTGAACTATGAATATTTATTAAAGCCTTGAAACGATATTTATAGAACTCATAGATCTGTTATAGAATACATTATGTGGTCATTGACTTGTTTTAGAGCCTAAATTTTCAGGATGTCTCGCCAGCGTTGGAGGGGTGGTAAAGGTGGCATGGGGACCACTAGCAGGGGAGTCAGGGGTGTTGCTAAGTGACAGTGGTTTCAATCTAAGGTTGAATTGCAGAATTCAACCCTAAATCATGATCTATGTCCAACATCAACTTGTTCTATGGATCCCTATATGATAACAAATCTTTGTATGATTTCAGAATATTACAGAAACCAATATTTACAAACCTCTGTCTGCAGCCTTTGCAAGTCCTCCCCTCCAGCACTGACTTTCATTGAGAAGTTTCTGAGCCGGAGCCACGAGCGTGATGGCAGCTTCCCAAAGTTTTTGCAAGTAACTGTAAATAGAGCTCTTTGAGAGGGTCGGAGTCATGCCCTAGCTAAGTGCAACTGACACTAAGTGAGCTCTGTGGACCATTACTCAATTATTAATTTCTATATTCTACTTTTTTTTTTTACTGTATAGCATGGCTGAGCTTTCAGAATTGGTTTGTGTTCCTTGCTAGGCTCTTCCCTCTGCCTTGTGGGAGAACTTGCTAAACAAAGGGCCCCGGTGGTGTTGACAAACCCCATCCCCCTCTGGCCCTGCACCCGTCACTCTGGGCTGCTGTGATGAAAAAATTCCCTTTGGCCAAATTTTTTTCCCAAGCCCAGTCCCTCCAAGGCTTCCCATGTGCAGAGCCGTGCTGAAATGCTCTCGCATGGAAGAACGTTTATTTTTACGTAATGCAAGCAATCTTAATAACATGCTTGTGCTGCATTAACTGGTAAATTGTCTATAGTTTCCCCAAAGTGGGATACTGGAGAGTAAAAGTGTGGCAGGGCTTGTAAAGGGCATTGTGCATGTGTAGGGCTGCCTGTGGTGTTGTATGTGTTTGGAAGCTGCTTGTGAAATTGTACGTGTGCTGAGAGAGCTGTTTGTGGTGTAGGGTTTGTGTAAAGGGGTATGTTTGTGGTGAACTTTGTGTGTCTATGGGCTGTAGTGTGTGTGTGTCTAGAGGATGTAGCATATGCATTTGTTTATGGGCTGTTATGTGTGTTGGGACTGTTGTGTATGTGTGTCTAGAGGGTAATATTTTGATGTCTAGAGGGTGTATCGTGCGTATATAGGGCGTGGTGAACGTGTGTGTGTGTGTGTGTGTATGTTTGTTTATAAGGACAGTAGTATGGTGTGTGTATGTGTATAGGGTCTGTACTATGGGCGTTATAAAAGAGGCTTTAGTTATAAAGGAGGAATTAAATAATAATATATATATTTTTTTAAATGAGTGTAACAGTGTGTATGTGCAGCCCATTTCATTAGAGTGTGCACCAGGAAATTATTCCCCCATGTTATTTTCTAATGTTATATAATGTGACTATTTAGTAAAATGTTGAGTGAATGTGTGGGTGTGTGTCTTGTAGATGTAGGGTTGCTGTAAGTGTAGTAGCTGTGGGTGATGTATAAGAATGGCTGTGTGTAATGTGAGTATAGCTGTGAGTGGTATGTGTAGCTGTGAGTGACAAGTTTAGGTCACTGTGAGTAATGTGTGTGTGTGTTTGTGATCATGTGTGGGTAGCTCTGAGTAATGTGCATTGCTGTGTGTGGGTAGCTGTAAGTGATGTGTGTGATATATGTAGTTGTGTAAGTAGCTGTGATTGATAAGTTTAGGCCACTGTCAGTGATGTGTGTGATCATGTCTGATAAGTCATACATGCAGACACATACACAGATACATGTAAGGAGGGCTCAAACCTTTCAAGTCTTGGGCTACTAGCCAGGTCTGAAATGTACTTGCCACTTCAAATGCACACATATTGGATATCAATATCTATTTTTTCTTCACATTGAGCAAGTTCCTCTCTCCCCAAGGAGATTGTACCCTTCGGATTATATTTTAAAGTAATAGACCACTTTGCTTCACTAGTAGACAAACTGGTCACTCATTCACTCACACACACACAATGACAGACAGTGACACACACAGTCATTCCTGAAGATGCACTCACAGATATACACATACAGACACACAGTCACACAATCATATACAAATGAAACATGTACACACAGATACACACTCTCAGAAATAAAGATACACAATCAGTCATACAGACACAATACACACAAGACGAAATACATGTGGGAAGTAGTGGAATTTACATTTAGTACAAGACGGGAAGGGAGATTGTAGTCAGCTGCCCCTTAGCTCAATATAGCTAGTGGGGGTTTAGGTGCTGTAATGTGTGTGGGGGAGGGCTGCAGTGAGGGGATAGGTACTATAGCAGTGGGCTAGAGGCAGTAATTGGAGGCTAGGGGCAGTAGTGGGGAGTTTGGGGCTGCAGTGAGGTATTAGGGACAGTAGGGTGTAAGTTGTTGGGTTTATAGATATAGTGTGGTTAGTAACAATGGGGTGTTAAGGGCTGTATGGGGGTAGCAGCTGAGGTGGAATTAGAAGATGTAGTGGGGGATAGAGGCAGTAGTGGGGTGTTTAGGAGCAATAATGGGGTGCTGGAGGCAGTAGTGGTGGTTTAGGAGCTGTAGGGAGGGGGGGCTAGAGGCAGTAATGGAGGGCTAGAGTCTGTAGTGAGTAGTTAGGGGATTTAGTTAGTCAGTATGGGCTGTAGTCGGGGGGGAGGGGACTGGGGTTGGTCTAGTAGTGGGGATAGGGGCAGTATTGGAGGTTAGGTGGTCTAGTGGGGTAGATTAGCAGCTTTCTGATCCCTGGTGGTCCAGTGGCAAATACTCTTGTCAACACAGTTCATAGCCTCAGTGTGTGTGAGCAGGGATATGACGTGTGTTATCTTCCACCACTCCACATAGCCTCCGGCATGAACATGGAGCCTGAGCTGGATGGAGGTGCTGCTGCTTGGCCACGGTACAGTAAAGGGGTGGAAGAAAGAGACAGCGGCATGTCGGATCTATTATTAGTCCCGAGTGCCCTGTTCTAGCCAGACAAAGGGCTAATTATAATAAATGGCACATTTTAGACTAGGGGCTAAATGACTCAGAGCCCCCCCACTGCTGACACCCCTGATGGAAAGTCTGGCAAGTGAGTTGTGGACCTGCAGCTTCAAGACATCACACATCCCAACATTTCAAATGTGCTAGGAGGGACACTTTAATTTTAGGGATGTGAGTGAGTGTGTGGCCAGGGGTAGAACTCTTCTGGGAAATTTTTGGTGATTAATAATTTATGCAACTAAAATGTAATTAAGACAATAGAACTCTTATTTACCGAAAATGACTTATTGTAGTTTAAAGACACATTACTGGGGGTGTTATTGCTGTGGAGCTCTGTTATACACTCAGACACACAATATGGAGCTCCTGGAAAAGAGGGACAATAGGATAGAAAAGAGAGACAGAGGGACTTGGGCCCAAAATAGGGACTATCTTTCCTAAATAGGGACACTTGGGATACATTATTCAAGCTTCTGAAAATAGTGGGAGGTGTGTTGGGATGTCTATTAGCACAGTTCTGCTGGAATAAGGCAAGAATTATATACGGCCATTGCTATATCACTAAATTGCATGTTCCATGTGTGTCGGACCATCCACACGAAGATCTGTGCGTCTGGTGTGTTTTCCTCTACCCCCCAGGCCTGTGCTTGCTAGGTTATAGGCATTTAGGCAGGCATCATTTAAATTGCAGCTCAGCAACATCTGTAAAGCGGTTTAGTAACCCTGAGAAAGACAGATTTTTCACCAGAGAATACGGGTTGGGTAAGTGTCATGGCAATAGATAAGGTCGTCTCATAATAATCTTCTTGTATGTGTGCTGCATGTCAATACACTTAACGGTTAGTGCTTAATCTTGGTTTGTGACATTTTTATCACTTTATCAATTACTTAAGGCTAAACGACTCAAAAAGCTCCACTGTACAGTCATCCTGTTGCATTAATTACGATTGGCAGAACCTTCCTTTATGTGTCATTTAATTAAATTAATTCCTACAGATTATAATGGAAATATTAGGCCTGTATTATGTCTTCTTTAAATTCCTTTTATTGCATAGGGACATATAAAACAGGGTGCAATATACACAATAACATTCCACATATATAGTGAATAAGCTTGTAGAAAACATGCCAAAGAAGTCCTAACAATATATATGTAATTGTCAAAGGTTATTGGAATTCTGTCAAAACAAGATCAAAATAAAAGGGCAAGTGATGTAGAACTGAAATGCATGCAGATATTTGTAATGAGAAGGGTAGGTGAAGGTCGCCTTTGAAAATCATGGTTGTGCTAATACAGGAGCTACAACTGTCCCAATTCCAGGATTTCAGTTAATCCGACCTACGTTCACATTAGACATGTGCAATTCGTTTCGTTACGAATGTAAATTCGACCAAATTTCGACAATTCAGACATTAGGACACTTCCGAATGTTCGAAGTGCTGAACTGCCAAATTACCGAACCGCCAAAGTGCTTTGGATTTGTGAAGAGTGGCAAAACAAGAGAGGGAGGAAAAATTACGTAAATGATTACAGGAATCCAACCCTACCCCTAGATGTGTAATTGGTTGTGGTGGTTAGGGTGTTAGGGGTAGGGTCATACTTATGGGTAGAGTTAGGGATTATGGTTAGGGAATTGCCAAAGTCCTGAATTGCCGGTCCGAATTTCGGAAGTGCAGAACCGCCGAATTGCCGAAGTCCTGAATTTCCGAGCCGAACCGAAGTGCAGAGTTGCCGAAATTTCGGAAGTGCCGGACCGAACTGGATTTTTTTTGCCCATGCACATCCCTAGTTCACATCAGGATGACATGTTCCTTCTCTGGACAGCCATGCTCATTTTAGGGCATTACCAGTGACATTTGGCATCAACCCCCCCGGCCCCAGACCTGCACAAATTGATGGTATTGTAGAATATGGGGGAAGACCGTATGCTGAATCTGAATGTAACAAGTTTGGACAAAGGTCATTTCAAAATCAGTTTAAAGGACCACTATAGTGCCAGGAAAGCTTTTTCCTGGCACTATAGTGCCTTGAGGGTGCCCCCACCCTCAGGGTCCCACTCCCGCCGGGCTGGATGGCAAGGAAAGGGGTTAAACTTACCTTTTTTCCAGCGCCGGGCGGGGAGCTCTCCTCCTCCTCCTCTCCGCCTCCGATCCTCCTCTTCAGCTGAATGCGCATGCGCGGCAGGAGCTGCGCGAGCATTCAGCCAGTCTCATAAGAAAGCATTCATAATGATTTTCACAGTGAGAAGCACGCAAACGCCTCTAGCGGCTGTCAATGATACAGCCACTAGAGGCTTTAGAGGCTGGATTAACCCCCCAAAAAAGGGTTAATCCTAGAGGGACCTGGCACCCAGACCACTCCATAACCGGGACACTCACCAGAGGCTGGAGAGACACCCGGAGAGCATTTTGAGCTGCAACAATAGTGTAAACTCCGATATCGGCGACAGCACAAGCCGCGACCTACCACATGTGCACAGACGGGAGGCGGCTGACCCCGCTGCTCAGGTACATGGAGGCTTAACGCCCGGTGTAGATCCCACCAGAGACCATCCCCCCCCAGCCAGCGAGGGCAATCCCGGCACCCTAAACAACCCATGGCAAATATGGGACACAAGCACAAAAGACAGGTGCAGATAGAGAGGCATGCATTGCAGGACATAAGGCTGTCCTTTGAGAGAACACCCCTGCCAGCACCAGCAAAGGTGGCACCCGACCACTATAATGAGCCTCAGATGACTCACCTGAAGAGGGGGAATCAAGTAACTCACCTCACCCAGCTGGAGTATACCTAAGAGCTGACTCAGATGAAGATTCATCCCCATCCACAAAGGCAGACATAAAAAGGTTATTGGTGGACCTGAGAAAAGTGTGGAAGTCAGACCTCCAAGAAACACAAGCTGACATACAGGCCCTGCAGCACAAAATGTCAGCGGTCGAGGTCAGAGAACAGGTACGAGACACACAGCTCCAGACAACTGTACAACATGTGGAGGATCTCGCCTCACAGGTTAAGCAACTACACAGAATGGTGACCACACTGGAGTCCCAACACCGGAGCGAAATGTACGCCTGAGAGGCATACCTGAACAGGTAGAGGGGGACGACATATTGTCATATGTCCAAAAGCTGATTGCCTCAATGGTTGTTCAAAAAGCCATAGACACCCCATGCAAGGCTGCAGCTGCACCAATGGACGCACCGAGAGACGTTATCGCAACAACCAGTGACATTGCGGTACGGTCCGCTATCCTGAACAAATCCAGATCTATTGGTCAAGTACAATTTGAGGGCCATATTCTCTCCATCTACAGTGACCTCCCATTCCTTGTCCTGGCAGAACGAAGGCAGCTGGCACCTGTGGCCAGGAGGCTGCGAGACTGCTCAGTCAAATACCGCTTGACCGCAGAAGGTTTTCTGGTCGTCACATAAGGCACAGAAACGCTCACCCTGACCTCCTCGCTGAGGAGGCAAACCGGGCGGATACACTGAACGAGAAAAGGGCCTCTGGAGGAGCGAACCCGCGGAGCAACTTGGCTAAGAGACACGTACCTAACACTAGGGACAGTTTGGATATACCATAGATTGTACTATTAACCTGACTTCATGCTACCTTTGGCGTCATATACGCAGTTGCTGTCCATCTATGTGGTCTCTCGCTACACTCAAATTGTAGACAAAAACATTAATGTTTTTGTTTGAGGCCTTCTTCTTGTCTTTTGTCTTTATTCTTTACCTCATACTGCTATAACCGTGTTTGCCGAACCATATTGAGACTTACAATACTCTCTAATTGTTTATTCCTCATATATAATGGCACAGATGTATACATGTGTATAACTCTAATAAAATACAAATTAAAAAAAAAAGATACATTTAAGTACGTATTTTTTTTAAAAACCCTTTTAAAAAAAATTTGTCGCAGTTGCACTAAAGAAAATATTGAGTTACTGTGGCACGTGGGTGGTAAGGAAATTTTACCATCAACAAAGATACAAAAGTGGGCAGTAGGTGTTAAAAGATTGACTACCCCTACATTACAGAAACATTTAGAATACCCATTAAACATACCTTTAACGCAATAAGGACACTATAAAGCATAAAATCATCCAACATGTTATTCACCCCGTGGGGCATAAAAACAATAAACATCATCTACAAAGTTTAATACACGAGTGTCCTGCAAAGCACAAGTCCAACACAAGATATTTAGGGTGCCATATGCAGCACCAATATTTCTCTTTCGTATTCAAAGCAATGATCTCTCAGTGCTTGGATCTTAATAAAGTTTTGCTTCAAATGTGAAGCATGTAGATTACTGCTTGTGGCACTCTATATGGGGTCTCGGACCTGTTATTTTGTAGGATACTCCTGTATTGACATCTGCGAATGTTGTATATAGATTTTATGCCCTACAAAGGCATTTGGAACTGTGCAACTTTTGTTAAAGGGATGGAGCTGGAGTCTTGTTCAATTGCTTTTTCAAATTTCTTACATGGTGGGATGGACAATCCCACCATCTTCATACCCATGAAAATATACCATTTATTAATTCAACATTTTATGTGATGTGTCTGTATTCACTCGAGAAATTGGGTAGCCTGATGGTGAGTACACTTTTTTTTTTTCTGTGTTAGTAGAACAGAAGCGCAACTGGTGAAAATTACAACTCTAGGACAAGCATACAAGCTGTGGTAATAAAAATAAAACATAAAAGGCACAATATTTTTTTCAATTTACTTTTTATTGAGCATTTTCAATTTAGGGTACAGAAAGAAAAATAGGGAGGGGAGTATTCCCTCTGGTGTAGAGGTTCATAGTTTGGGTTTTGTTCATCTGTCATAGGGAAGGGTGTAAAGGGGGGAATGGATTGCAACAACATTGGTAAGACATAACTGTTTGTACAATCAGCACAGTGCCCTCGTATAGTTTTTATTTCCAATAATTTTGTTCTGAGCTTGTCATTTTATCTTTTTCTGTCTGAACTATATACACAAACATTTCAACGTTACTTGTTGTCACTCTCTCTATCATAGTTGTGTCCTACCAGGAGTGTAGGACTCTTTTTTTTTGGCCTCCTGCATCAGCGGCCCTCTCTCTACTTGTGCCACATCCGCCTCTATTTCTCCCGCGCCCCCTCCGTTCCTAGACTCTCGCCTCCTTTTCCCCTTCCCTTGCTGTGTATTCCTCCCATCTGTCCCTGGCTTTTATCGTGTGTGTCGATGCACCGTATTGAGTAGTGAGCTTTGTTTCATACCACAGGTTTGTGCTGATTTGGTTCAGCAAATCAGGTTTTGTGGGTCTAGTGGTCTTTTTCCATGCTCTTGCTATCAGAGTGTTTGCTGCTATCAAGAAAAGTAGTATCGCCTGAGGTTTGTTGTATGTCTCTAATGTCATGAAGAGCAGTCCGCATTCCGGTTGTAGGTTTTGCTCCAAATCTAGGGTATCCCTGGCTATTCCCTCCACCGTCTTCCAATATGGCGTTATCTGGCTACATGTCCACCATATATGGTACATGGTGCCTTCCTCCAACCCGCACCTCCAGCACTGCTTTGTTGTGTGTGGATATTTGCTTGCTAGTCTGGTCGGCACCATTTACCACCTGTACCAGTTTCCTCATTAGCTCAAGGTGGGAAGTGCACCTGGATCTCCCTTTATGAGCAGAGAACGCTCTCTGCCAATGGGTGTCGGTGAAGGTTTTGTGTATGTCTTTTTGCCAGTACTCTTTGAAGTTGTCTGCTATTGGTGTTAAGGTGTTGATGTTTAGGGTGGCGCAGAGGGTGGACAGTAATTTCTTTGGTGTGTTCCCTGTTTCGCTTAGTTTGTATATTTGTTCCAAGGGTTCAGGGCTGTCCATGCCTGTCTTGTCTTCTATTAAATACTTTATTTGGAGATAGGAGAATATTGTGTTGCTAGGTAATGTATATGTTTGCTTCAGGTCAGGATATTGCGCTAGTGTACCGTTTCGATTTAGGTGTTTGATTTGTGTGCATCCTTTCTGTACCCATGGGCGATAGATTAGTGTAGGGTTGACAACGTGCAAACTTTGCAATGGGGTTGATAGTGCCCATTGATTGTTTCGGCCTAGGAGGCTCGTAGTTGAGTCCCATATATCTAGAAGTAGTTGTGTGGTCTTGAGCATGGTTGTGGGTTTGGGTTGTAGTTTGTGTGGCACCCAGAACAGATATGTTATCCCTCCCGCGTACACCCCCACTGCCTCCATCTCTGCCCATTGGGGTCTATCCCCTGTCGTGTGTGCCGCAATAGTTGTGGACATAAAGGCGGCTCTGTAGTAGAGATGTACGTCCGGCAGTCCCAGTCCCCCCTTGTCCAGTTTTTTTCAGAATTTTTGCTGCCAGCTGGAGTTTCCTGTGTGCCCATACAAATTGTGTGATCATTTGTTGTAGTTTGTTTAGGTATGTGTTTGGTAGGAACATTTGTAATGTTCTTGTTAAGTATTGGAATTTTGGTAGTAGCATCATTTTAAATGATGTTAGCCTCCCTATCCAAGACAGGTATTTGTTTTCCCATCCCTTCAGTGTTTCTCTGATTTCTTTCATTAGTCTGCCATAATTTAGCTCTAGTAGTTGGCCGGGATTTTTTGATAGTCTCAATCCCAAGTACATGAGGTAGTCCTCCCTCCAATCAAATTGCAAGCTGTCTTTTAATTTGCTTGGCGTGCCTTGAGTCATCCCTATCCCCATGGCCTGTGTTTTCATGACATTTAATTTATAATAGGATTGTTCCCCATATTCTTTTATTTCATCTAGGAGGTTCGGCAGTGATATATGTGGTTGTGTGAGCGTCAGCATCACGTCGTCTGCAAACAGTCTAGCTTTGTATTCTTGTTTCCCTATCCTAACCCCGTGTGTGTTGGCGTTGTCTCTAATGCGTGTGGCTAGAGGTTCTAGGACTAGTCTATACAGCAATGGCGACAGGGGGCAGCCTTGCCTTGTTCCATTGGATAGCCTGAAAGGCTCCGACAGGAACCCAGAGTTTAGCACTTGTGCCGCCAGTGTACTATATAGTGCCTCCACTACTGCTCCGAACTCCTCGGGTATTCCGAATCTTGACATGACCTTGCTAAGGAAGCCCAGTGCAGTCTATCAAAAGCCTTCTCGGCGTCCAGGGAGACAAATAGTCCACCTAGCGCCTTGTCTTTCTCTCACAAAGCCCACCTGGTCATTGTGTATTATGTGTGGTATGATGTGTCCTAATCTGATTGCATAGAGTTTTGCAAATAATTTTGCATCTGTGTTTAAGAGTGATATAGGTCGGAAGTTTTGTGGCGTCGTGGGAGGTTTATTTACTATGACATATCTGCCGTTTGCGTCAGTTTCATGATATTGTGGTTGAAAATTCAAGTGTTTGCTTAGGAGGATGGAGGTTCCTCTGGATTTAGCGGGTGAGGTGGCGTGATACTGGTGTGGGAAGTGGAGAGATTGAATAGTGTCTCTCCTGTAGGCACACTATATCAGCGTGTAGTGATAGGAGGTCCCTGTTTAACAAATGTATCTTTGCAGGGATATTAAGTCCCTGTACATTGTAAGTACATATTCTCATGGTGGTTTCGTAACGCGCTGTTGCTTTTGATGTATCATGCTATCTATTTCTACGGAGTCCAATACTCTCCCCAGCGTTAACAAGCAGAGTGATGGTTCCCCTGTTTTGCTAAAGGATCTGGGCGCCGCCAGGAACTTCGTGCAAGTAGTGGTCTCTTGGAGTTTGTGAGTTCTGTGTGATAGAGGTGTACGTGTGGTAACGCTTATGTGTCCCCTAGTGTTTTCAGTTTTTACAGGGACAAACAGAACATGAAAAAATAGGAATGAACATAACAACAACAAAAGTATATACAGTCATTAGTACTGCCTTAGGTATGGCTAGGCACTGCGTCTCCGTGCCCTGGGGGTTGAAGCTACACTTCTCGACCTGGTGGGTCCCAGCCCTTTTTGCTTCACTTAGATTTTTCTAGTGTTGTGTCGCCCTACATAGGCTTTTTAGTCAATATCGCGGTTTGTGTATTGAAATAGTAAAGTACTTTGTTTTATCTGATGGTTGGATGTGCTCTTTGCATCGTCTGCCTTGGGGGTTATGTGCTAGTGATGTGGGTCATCGCCTTCTCTTTGGGAATATCTGGCTCCGGTTGTCTATGCTTTGGGCCCTAGCTGCTGCCCCCTCTCCCTTTTGGCCCTATTCTCCTTAATTCCCCGTGGATTGACCCGGCAAATTTAAGAAAAAGTTGTAATGACAATGATTCCAGTTACGTTACCCATCCCTGGCTTCGTCCCGGCTTAGTCCTTACAATAAGGGCGAACCGTGAATGTAAGTATTTTGTGATAATGGTCAGTTAATTTTTTCTTTGTTTACGGTCGACCTCACTGTTGATTGCTCTGGCATATCAATGTCCCAGGTTTTAAGGGTTTGATGTCCTTCTTCTGGTGATTGTATAACCGTGATTTTTCCTTTTCGGTTGACCAGGAGTTTTGTCGGGTATCCCCAGCAGTATGGAAGATGGTGTTCTCTCCGGCGTTTCAACGTGTAGGCGGAGATGTCGGCGTATATCGCTTTTTTTTTGTAGATCTCCAGTAGTCCTTTACTTGTTCTATTGGCATAGAGTGCGGCTTCTTTAGCGTGGTAATAGTGCATGCGAAGTAGTACATCTAGGAGCTAGGCTTCGCCGTGTGATGAATTCTGCCTATTAAGAGCATGTCTTGAGGCCAGTCCGGCAGCAGGTGTTTTAGGAGGACTGTGACATGTGCCATGAGGTCTGTCGTTCCCACAGTCTCTGATATGCCTCGTATTCGTAGGTTATTTCTACGTGCACGGTCTTCCATGTCTGCTAGTTTTATGTCTTGTGCATCTAACCTGGCTGCATCCACTGTGTCCGCCAAGGTGTTGTGGGCCACTTCATATTCTGCCATCTTGTCCTCCACTTGTGAGGTTCTTGTGCCCAGCTCCTGCAGATCTTTCCCAAGGTCTTTCATTGCTGTGTCCAGCTTTTGTAATATTTTGGTGGACATTTCATCCAGCAGTGATTTTAGTGAGCTATGCGTCAGCAAGGGTTCCGGCTCTGCAGACTGCTCAGTGGGTTCTGTGCCGTCGTTGGTGCCATCTTGGGCCTGATCATGCTGGTGTTGAATTTTGCTCTGGCCGGTTCTGGAGGCGAAGAAATTCGTTTTTTTGGACCTCTCCGCGGTCCGTTTTCCTTTGGGCTGTGACACGTCTGTCTAAGTGGTTGTTGCCTATGTGTGTGGGCGTAATAGCTCCTTTTGAAGCGTTTTCGGAGCGGAGCTGCGTTTACATGCGGCTGCTCTGGTTCTGTCAGGCCACGCCCCCTAAAAGGCACAATATTAACGGCTAAATACTGTTTATACAGTCAGTAGTACTGCCTTAGGTATGGCTAGGCACTGCGTCTCCTTGCCCTGGGGGCAACAATCATCTCAAAAGATCAACATCTTTGAAGATTGTCAAAAGCCGAGCATGTGTCCTTTGTAAAAACTAATTAGTACAGAGTCTCTCATGGAAAGTCCATTGAAAGCACAACAGATGATTGCTGGTAGGCAAATTGCAAGCATAATATCATATTCAAATATAGCAGCATACAATACCTTAGTAAAGAAAGCGGTAGGCATGTGTAGGTAGTCAGTGATACTTGTTGGGTTGGAGTAGTGTTGTTTGACAAAAGGTGAGCGTCTTCAGATAGTGGCTACTGTTCAAGGTGGATGACTCACCATATCTTCAAAAGTGGCAACAGTGGTGAGACTGCAGGATCAGCTGAATGGATGATTTGAGTATAAAGATGATGAAGTGGATTTACAGTTATATTTTTCTTCATGCGGGAAGACTCAAAATGCAGTTTGAACCACAGTCAGGTTAAGAAAAGATTTAGAGCCATGTTGGTTAAGAGCAATGGAAGTGGAAATGTGCTGGATCTCAGCTGCAGAAAATGAACTGAGCTCAGGGTTCTTGAGCTTAGTTGTTACAGGTTGGAACATATTGGCAGCACGTATCCATGCCAATCCACTCACAACAAATAGATGACATCAATAGTGTACGTAAGCAAGGCAGTGGCCACAGAAGCAGAGTCAATGGATAGGGTAGTAGTCATCCCTGGTTGTAACCAGAGGAGAACTAAAAAAAAAAAAATGGTGGCCAGAGGTCAACAGTAAGGACCTTGAATCCACCTGATATTGTGTCCAACAAAGTGTGGTAGGTATAAAAGCGTTGGTTGTCTGTGCTGGAACTGTCATGATTAGGATTTGTAACTAACAGTGAGAGCAATGGTGCAGCCTAGGTAGGTGTTGAGGACCAGTCGAATGGTGGAGTGACTGCTGCTAATTAGATGAAAAGCGGTTTCCCAAAGCCCACAAAAGGCCTGGGCTTCTCCGTCTGCTTATTGCTAACTGAAGTAGGTCACAGTTATATGGCTCTGGTGCAAGATAATGTGGATGTTGGTGGACTGCTTGTTCTTGCCCAGAATGCTTCTAAATGTCATTGCACAATCCCTCCTCCTGGAGGTTCCCCACATTGTGTTTATATGTAATATATATTCAGTGTATAGACCCACACAATACCAAAATAGAGTATAAACATTTTTATTATCAGATTTTGCAGTATTCTCTCTAGTCCATAAAGCTTCACTCACCCTCAGTAGTCATACTCTAGTTATGTTTTCCAGTCTGTAGAGGAACAATTTACTCTGCCAAAAGTCAATAATTGCTGATCTAATGAATGTAAAGTTGCTGAAAATGTAAGCGCACCTCCTGCTTTCAAACAGTACTGGAAGTTTCCATGGGTGATATTATTCCTACAGTCAGGAAGGGGGAGGAATGAATAGACTCCACCATTTCACTGTCACCACTACATTAGCATTCCTGAGATTCATAGTAATTCCTTCAGGGTTGGTGCAAATACCTACATTCAATGCACATAATATTTAGCTAAGCCAAATTGCATATTAGCATACGAAATATGCAAAGTGAGAGAAAAACTGAAGTTCCCCTTTTTTACATGTAGGCAATGAATGAGTCTTTCTTTTCATGACATAAAATTCTAGAAATGCTTATAATGTGTTTGAGTTATACGACTGTGGTTTTTGTTTGAGAGGATTCAGGAGTTCTCTTTATTCAATTTGTTTGATTGCAACCACAATACAGAATGACTAAATGCAATTACAGACAAACATGAAAAATAAAAAGGAAATAAATAAACTCATTAATCCCCAAATTGCACAGAATGTTGAGAGCCAAAATTTTCATCTGTAGATTTGTTGTTCAGCAAATAAGCTTCCTAAATTTATGAGATGCATGTGGGAAAAGTTAATTAATACACATAAACAAAGAGCAGCCATGATGACCGTGCATGATTTAGGTTTTGTACACACGGAAAGTTTATTTATATGTCGATTCAAAAATAAACCACTTTTTAGGCATAATTGGTTTTGGCTTTGAACAGAACTGGAAGTGTAAGCAGAACTCATACAGAAAAAAAAAAAATAGATAACAAAACTGCAGCGTATGGATAGTTAAGAAATCATGTTCACAACTGTGAGAACTCTGATTAAGGGAATAATCATTGTAAAATTTTAAAGGAACACTCCAAGCACTATAACCACTACATACAGCTGTAATTAAAGGGACACTATAGGCAACGAATAAACTTAAGCGTTATAAAGCAGTTTCGGTGTATAGACCATGACCCTGCAGACTCACTGCTCAATTATCTGCCATTTAATAGTTAAATCACATTTCTTACGATTTATGCAGGCCTAGCCACACCTCACTAGGCTGTGATACACACACACACGACAAAATAAATGGTTTCATTTTCAATCAGATGTTTTTATTTTAACTACTGCTCTGTAAATTAAACTTTGAGAAATTCTACATTAAACAGAATGTGCAATAAAGGCATTGTAAACATTAGACCTCTCTTTACAGGAAGTAGCTGTGTAAGTCACATGCAGGGAGGTGTGGCTAGGGCTGTATAAAAAAAAAAGTGACAACTTGTGAATGGCAGATAATTGAGCAGTGAGACTGAAGGGGCATGATCTATAGTTCAACATTGCTTTATTAAGCTGAATTGGTGCCTAGAGTACCCTTGCACTCTCCCATATCAAGTCGTTAAACAGTTTGAGAATAGTATGACCACTTTACTTTGGTCTGCTGGGTGCTACCTCCCCTGGAGCCAGTATATTCTCCTGCAAGGAGTTTTCATTAGCTTTAGTGAACTTAACACTGCTATGCAGGGCAGGTTTGTTGGCTAGAGCATTTTAAACAGTCTGACTACTTACTGTGGGAGTATGCCTGGGCAGACTGTAGTGGTTAAGATGCTTGCAGTATTCCATTAAATTTTTTGGTATTCGCCAATTACGAACGGATTCAATCAGGTTAAATAGTGAACCTTAAATTATGAACCTTTAGGAGACATCTTATTGAGGTAATCTAAAAGGAAAGGCAATCTGAATTAAATTCAGTCCACGGGCTGGATAAGTATAATGAGAGTTGTAATTTTCTAACAGCCGAAGGGCTATCTGTTGAGATGCAAGCATCTCCACTAACCCACAAAAAAAAAAAAAAAAAGATTGTCCTTAAAGATAAATTCCCTTGCTGGACTATTTCGTTGGCCACAGTGGACACTTCCAAAGATCACATTTCTTAACCAACCAGAATTTCAAAGACATATAAGAGGGTTCTTCAAAATTAACGTGGAGATTTGGACAACTTTAGGGACACTTTGAAAACGCATATGGAAACAGTGAGAACGTCAATGAAAAGAAAGTGGAAAGATTCAGTAGTTTGCTCACATGCAAATGGCATCGCTGTACAGCAGTGAGTAGTCTGTTTTTTCTTTTAACACCACCACATCATTTGCAACAACGTAGAAAGGGAGATTACCTGAATTTATGCACTCTCGAGATAACATCTCCAAATCTGACCTAATCTTCTGAATGTGATAAAGGGTGAGAATCCCTAATCAGACTAGAAATCTTTAGCTCTTCCCAATACCTTACACCACGTTCCTTGACTTATCTTATGGCCATTAAATGTTTAGTGCCATTATTGTAGATTTGGAAATTAACCCCTTAAGGACCAAACTTCTGGAATAAAAGGGAATCATGACATGTCACACATGTCATGTGTCCTTAAGGGGTTAAATAATCCGACACGGATGGCCGCAAGAAAAACAGAAGGTGAGAAACTGCGGTCTCTCAGACTCTCCCGCCAATTGTTGCTGAACTACAAATCCCATGATTAACTGTTGCGTTCAAAGAATTTTGGATGTTGCAGGCCATCAATATCTGGCGGTGGGGGCAAGTTTGAGATCCCTGACTTAGAGAGAACTTGCTGGAACAGGCAACTCCACAGCCAGACGTAAATTCAAGGAGAAAACAACATCTTGTTGCATTAACGTTCGCAATATCAGTCTCATCACAGCCTTCTTCATATAGAACCTTCTACCTTCTCTAATAAAGTGCATTGCATAAAGGGAGCTTGAAGCTGGACATCCGTTCTCAAGAACTCTGTTGATGAAAACCTCAGTCCGTCAGAGTGATCACATCATATTCTATCTCATGCTGTAAGGCAGTTTCTCTTTCGGTCGTGTACACTGTCTGAGCCATTGCTGCATCTGCTACAGCTAGCAAAAGAGAAACAGGTTAGGTCTGTTATACATGGTAGCAAATCAAATTATGAATACACATTTAGCCATAATTCTCACCTGTAACTGCAGAGTGTGCAGCAGCTTCAAGCTGCTCCTGTGTTAAGAGCTGGTGCGTGGGTGACATGGGAACAAAGTGAATCTGTGGATAAAAGAATTCAATGCTTAGACGGTTTGATCAAGTCTTACATAACTGGCAGGGGTAGGCTGGCAAAGCGACACTTGCTAGCGTGAGCTGATCGATTGTAAAGGGCTTTTTTGTCAGTCCTGTCACAGTGCATACAAGAGTAATAAGATACCTGTGGGTCCTGGAGAAACTGCGTTCCTGGCTCATACTGAATGTGGGTAATTTGTCCATCCTGAACCTGTGGAAGAGAAATAAACACCAAGACATAAATCAATATTAAAAAATAAATAGGTATTGCATATATATGAAACAAAATGCCTCCCCAAAATATAAGAAATATTATAACAAAGTATAGAATATACATAAATACCCTTAAAATGATAAAGAATGAAGGGAATCACTGTGCAGAATAAATTAATGTTTTAAAATCTTTAAGAGTATATGGTGAATGCACTGTGCTCAGGATATGAGTGATTTTAAACGGATGAGATGCCATTTACTGGAAGCATGATGGTAGTTTTTTTTTTTGTAGATTCCTATAAACTGCAAAAATCCTGTATAAAGCATTCTATTTTATTTAGAATACTGCCGTATTTGACATTTCAATTAGCCACCTAATCAAAAGGTTTCCAGGACTCCGATTGTACTAGCCTTTCTCTACGAGCAGATTATCTGGGTGAGACCAAAGATCATGCAATCCAAAAGAACTACAAAATTAATACAAATATCTCTTGGCCAATGAAGGAACAATTCCACTTAGGTTAAAACACTATTATTCCTCAGAATTTTAAGCAAACAGTAAGTTTTGCATCACGTAGAAAATCAAAGTGTCCTTAGATAGTACTGTTGTTTTGAGCTGATTTACCATGACAATGTTGTCACCGGCTAACTTAATTATGGTATGTGTATAGATATATAGTTATATTGAAAAAAGATGCACTCTTCGGTTTTTTTTAAAATACTAACAGTCTTTAATCCATAGAAGGTTTACAGGTTGCTTGATCAACGTTTCGACCCGTTCGGGTCTTCCTCAGGATCTTTTTTCAATATAATTATTTATTAGCGTGAGATTGCACCAGGGCACTTCTACTATTTATTATACTAGTAAGGGTGAGTGCCATTATTTGTGATAGAGAGATATAATATATATACACACACATACATATATATATACACACACACACACAAAATATTATAGTGAAATCTCAACCAATATGGGTCATCTATGTGTGACATGCAAATAAAAGCAATCAGGGTGCTTAAATGAGAAAACCTGTTCCCTCACCAGGTATTAACAAGCTTATGATACAATAATACCCAAAACACACCAAGGATAGGAGTACAAAAATGTATATTATTTCTTTGAATGTATATTTAATGGAAAAAGTGCAAATAGTACAGCGCAAATGTACACATAGGCTCTAGGTCAGTACACCTGGTTTATAGTTTATGGGTTGTTAGTTCAAGAGCTCTATATTCAGAGCAGTTTACTTACCATGCATGCAAGTTGGTATATTTAATGTCATTATTTGTACCGTTGCTCTGTACTATTGCAATTTTACCATTAAATATGCATTCAAAGAACTAAAATCAATTTTTGTACTCATATCCTTGGTGTGCGTTGGTATTATAGTATTCATTAACTTAGTGATAGATCAGCTAATGAGCTCCGGATGACTCTGCACCAACCACTAAACGTGACTTAAAGCTTCTTCTGGCAGACATCCATAAGCTCCTAGCAGCTGACTCAGCCCTTCTGAGGACCGAACTGCGCACGGTCACGGAAAAGGTGTACACCACGGAGGCAGAAGTAGTGATGGTACATGCTCACATAAACACGATGGAAGACACCATCAAACAAATCCAACAACAACAAACGTACCTGTCACTCAAAAGGTCAACCATGGAAGATCGACAACGCCGCTCACACATAAAAATCAGGGGCATCCCTGCAGAGATATCAGCCGAAGAGCTGCCGCATTACACCAGACGCCTACTAGCTACAGTACTCCCACACACGGCAGTGAAGAAAATGATCATAGATGGGGTATACCGCTTGCCTACCCCTCCCCACCTAAAGACCCCAACGGCCAGAGACGTCATCCTCAGATGTGTCACAGTACAAGATAAACTACACATAATGGCTGGGCTGAAAGGCAAGACACCGCTTCTGTTTGAGAACTCTTCCCTGACGTTCTTCCAGGACCTATCAAAGGCCACCCTCATGTGGCGCAAATCGTATGGACCGCTCACCACACAACTCCGAGCAGCGGGAATTGCATACAAATGGGGCACTAACGGGACTCTGGAGGTATCCCAAGAAGGCACTACCCACGTCCTAACCTCCGTGGAAGAAGCACCTAATCTCCTAACCGCTTTGAAACTACCCAACCCGATGCTTCCACCACGAAAAAGCCCGCAACTGGAAGTCCAGGATCCCAGGAACAACGCCCAGTCGGAACCGAGACCCAGCGGGTCACAACACCCTGTACCATGACTGAAGTGGACTGACACCGCAGGCTTTGCCACCAGGAATGGTGCACACAAATTTTGATTTCATTCCGTGACTTTATTTACGTTTTATACTATTCATGTTTTATACTATTTACTACTTACGTTTTACAATATTTACTATTTAGCCTCCGCTAACAATTCCCAAACACTACAGGCCATTGCCACACCCACCCTCTCTACGCCACTGAGAGCCAACATATCACACGTCCAACCACAGAGCGCCTGACAAATCACCCCCCCCCCCCGCAGCCCCCTTGGTTAGGGGTAATCAACCCAAAGCACGCTATCTACGACAAACAGCTCACCTCCACTAACGCATGTAGACACCTATACTCAGCACAACACAGCGAGTCCGACCATGAAACATGGAATTGACGCAACCTTGCTACTACACGACTCGAAAACCTACTCAATCTTCACATAGGGTCCCATCACCACCAGACCTACTCTAGACAGGAGCTACTGATTGAAAGCAAAGTCCTCTCCCAACACAAGAACGCACAAAACATCATAACACCTAAATAATGAATACTGTTTTGTTTTAACATGTTACTGTTGTTTAAAATTATTGCTATTGCTTGACCCAAAACGGTGCAAACTATGAACGGTACCGAACCTCAACTTTTTAACAATCTGTACAATCTAAATGTTGCACCAAAAATGAAAAATAAAGAATTAAAAAAAAAAAAAAAAAAGATCAGCTAATGAGGTTAGCTAAAGCACGTTATATCTCCAAGTCATTGAAGTTAACCCTGATTTATAGTGATGTGAACGGAACCTGGCTTCCTAACAGACACTGCAGGAAGTAATTAGATATGACAACACACTAGCACTCTATGTTAGCATGCCAAAGGGAGTGCAAGGAGAAACCTTAAGTTTTCTCTGCTGTGGAAGCATACAGAGATGCAAGCTGTGGGGCCCGGTCAGGGAAGTTAAAAAGATATAGAGACAGCTTCTCAGCTCGGGTGCAATTTGTCATCACTGCTATTTAATTTGTCAAACCCTGATTTAATCAGCAATTCTGATCGGTCGGGAACTTAAACAGGCAGTAGTTCCATCTTCAGTGGTGTACGCAGGAGTGCCTGGCTGAAATCAGTTCCAGGCACTCGACGACCAAGTACAAATGCCTGCGTTCGGGAGACAAAATGGCTTGCATCCAGTTTGACAACCACGTGTTGCACGAAATGGTGGCCACCCAGGGGAGCATTCTATTAATTGTTTCTGTTGTGGTTTTCATACCAACACCATGTTCTAATGAGGTGTTGGAGTGGTCCTCGTTCGGGAATTGAACCAGGTGGGTTCGAACAAATAAACGAACATAAAGGAAATTAAATGTGCTGAACCAAGTGATGGGGTTATTCCTTCACACTGCTCAAGTGGCGCAAGTTAGAAACCCCAACCATGAATCAGTTTCGATGCTCCTGAGGAAGTCGTAGGACGAAACGCGTTGAGCTTACCAGGAGACCCTGTGATTTGGTATCGGCAGTTTTATTATCACATATGCTGGATTTATCTTTTTGTGCAATATTGTGTCTATTTGGACTATTAAGTGCTCACTCTGTTATTTGAGTCTTCTTTCTATGGTATAATACTGTGTGTACACCTGGATGACCAAGTTGTGCACTTTAATCTCATTTGCACGTTTTGCACTTTATGTATTTAGTCCAGTATTTATTGTGTTAAGCTGCTATACTTATGGGTCTCTGGCCCATTATGGCCTTTTAATATATATTTTACTGCACATGTTTTGTGCTATATATTGTGGATTTTTTATGTAATAAATTTTTGTTTACTTTATATATTTTTTTCCTCTTGATCTCATTTTTTCCTTCCTTTACCCCTATACAGTATTTATATAGTGATTGTGGCGCCCTGTGTTTTTCTGGTTTTCTTTGGTACATATTTGGGGTTGGAGTGACCTCTCCACAGAAGCTTGCCTGCACTAATTCTTCTCACTGCACCTCACCTATCTTTCATTTTATTATGAATCAGTTTAAGAATTATACAACATGGAGTTCCTCACGGCCTCTCTATGTGGAACGACTGAGAAATGTACCCAAACGTAGGCAAAACGCCTAACCAACCCTGTCTAAGGGCCCTTTGTCTCTTCATTCATGGAGACCTGTGACTATTCCTGAAACTCATGCTAGATCAGCCAGGGTGTCCATCGGGTCCTGGCTGGGGAATAAAGAGGGTCAACCCCGGGGTTGAATACCACATATACATATTAGGTATAATGTAAATAATGGGAGTTTCTTTTGTCTTTTCTTTTCCTTCTCTTTCCTCTAACCCTACTCCCCACCCCCGCCCCTTATCCCTCTTCTCTCTCTTATTCTTTTTTTATAATTCTTTATTTTTGCGTGCACAAGAGTTAGACATGTTGCATCTTATGCATCGTTTGAGTAGGTAACAGGTTTAAACATTTGTCAGATAATGCATGTGATCAGTTTTAGCACATTTTTTTCATTAAGTTTAACAGGCGTAACATCCTAGGTAGAGGTTGTGTCGTATAGGGGTTTAGTCGTGTTACTCGTCTGTGGGTGCAGTACCTAGGTCATGGGTTGGTGTCGATGACGTGACCCTATTGGTGCTAGGAAGTATGTGTGGAGATGCGGAGTGGTGCTAGGGTCCATGTGGGTGCAGTAGGTGTAGTTTCGTCGGTCATGTAGTCTGGTGAGTGGTACACGTGTTCCGAAGTGGCTTGGTCATCTAGTTCCGCTGGGGACCTCTCATGAGGGGTGGTAGCCCTAACCTAGGGGCTGTCGGGGGGGTAGGTTTTGGCTTAGGGTATAGCTTATGGTCTGGTAATGCGGCAGCTCGTCAGCTAAGTCATCTAGCTAGCGATAAACAGATAAGAACTTCAACATCAGAAATGTATTGCGCGGAGGGTGGTGGGAATACAGATTGTAGTAGACAAGACATATGGATATCGCCGTTAAGCGGGCAGGGTTAAGAGACCTCTCTCCCCCTGTCCGTCAGGTGGCTTGCGTGTCCATTCTCTGTCTTCTCGGCACAAACGTATCCGAGGTATCTGGATTCCATACGTGGGGAGTGCCCAGGTTGGGCAAGTTTTGCAGGCCCAATTTTGTGAGTAGTGTAGGGGCCTCAGTCCCTGAGGTGATTTTATGGGTGGTCCCCTGGTGGGTGATGAGCAGAGAGCGGGGGTTCCCCCATCTATATGGTATCCCCGCTGTACGCAGATGGCCTGTGAGTTCCGTAAGCGACTTTCTCCACTGGAGGGTGGCCTTGGATAAGTCCTGATAAAAGGTCAGTTGGGTTTCCTCGAAATCAAGCGGGGTCTTACCCCTGATGGCGCTCATGATGTGCCCCTTGTCTTGCGGTAGGGCGCACCGGACAATGACATCTCCGGCTAGCGTTTTGCGGCGGCTCTAGGAGGGGTGGGTAGGCGGTAAATCCCTGCAAAGGCGAGTTTCTTAGTTACTGCGGGAGGGAGTAGTGATTGTGTGAGTCGCCTCACGTAATGCGGTAGGTCTTCTTTGCTCACCGATGCCGGGATGCCTCTGATTTTGATGTGGTTGCGCCGGTTTTTGTCCTCCTGCGTCGCCAGTTGTATTGCTAAGCGTTGCTGGTCTTGTTGTAGTTGGTGGAGCGAATCTTGTAGCGTAGAGACTTCTCCCTGTATTGTTTTGACTTGGTTTTCAGTAGTGGTCACTTTTTCTGTGATCTGTTGCATGCTCGTTTTGAGCGCTGGTAGGTCTGCTGCCAGCAGGTGTTGTATATCCTGCAGCATAGTTTGCAACTGCTGCAGGTCCTGCTTTGTGGCTGGGTCTGTTGATCCCTGTGGGGGTATGGGTTTGGTGGTTGGGGTCTGTGTGAGCTGTGGAGATCTCTGTGTGTCCCCCTGAGTGGTTTGTGCAGGTGGGGTGTCTGCCTGTGGGGGGTCTGGGCCCTGGTCGGACGCCATTTTGGCTGGGGTTTGTTTCTGCAGCAATGCCCCTATGTCAGGCTGTGCTGTGACAGTACCTTGGTGTGGCCGTTGTGATCTGCGCCCCATCTCTTTGTGGGACTGGTCGGGGTCCTGTAGATGGACTTCGCTTGGGTCTCCCAGGCTCTCTCCGCCCCACAAGTACTCCAGGCCGCGGCTGTTCGGTGTGTAGTAGGCCCGGATTTTCGTTTTGGGCTTTACCTGCCTCGAATTGTACCGGAATGGCATCGGGCGGTGCAGGATGGACTCCCTCGGGCAATGCTGGTAATTGTTTGCGTGGATGGCAAGTACTTTTGGTGATGCTGACGGATTCAGTTTCAGTTAGCTCAGAGCTGTCAGAAATGGCGTCCGGCTCGTTCCGCCGCTAAGCCCCGCCCCCCTCTCTCTTATTCTTAACACTTCTGGGACTCCCTGAGGCAGCCAATGTACGAGGAGATCAAATGGATGCAGAGGGACGTGACTCATTTTCCAACGAGACCATCATAACAAGACCTACCCTTTAGTATTCCGCCTAATCCCGATCTAAGAACTTGCCCATATTTGTTAAGGTCACACAGACATACACCAGCTACAACCGCACTACTAATCTCCCTGTGACAGTAATGCACACCATAACCTTACTGCATATTGTCTGTTATACAATTCATAATACTTTCATGTCTGTCAACATGCCTCGGAATGTGTATTGCGCTATACATTACTTTAATGTGCTGGAATTCTTGATGCTGCATTCTATAATTGAGAAAAACAAAACAAAACCCCTAAAGATTGTCTAATGGGGAGGGGGGACTAAAAGGCGGAGTGAACGGGAGATGTTTAATGACATCCTATACTAGTCACAACATACTCATAGTTCGGTTATGGTTATATGAGAATGTCATTCATGCTTGTTGTATGTGTTTTAAATCGCAGCCTTTGCAGAATAGCATACTCCTTTGCAGCCTCTTGTATCTGCACTCTGAATGTCAAGTATCTCAGCAAACTAAAGTGCTTCAGGGGTCTGGAGTGTCCCTTCAATATAGACTAAGGGATTTCAGATGTATTCCTGCATGCAGTAACCAGGATGTAAAAGGGACTTAAAATGTAGGCAGAGACAGAACATTCTTATTTAAATTTTCACAAAGAACACATAAAACACAAAAACATTACCGATTGGGCTTTAATGGTGTTGTAAAAGTAAATAAGGAATTTTAATATTGTGTTCACTTATCCCCTATATTTAACATGTTTAAGGGATAAGTGATCATAATATTAACAATCCTGAGAAGTGCCAGATAACCTTAAAAGATTTGTAACACTATTAAAAGCGAAAATATATACATATTTTTTAATTAAAAAAAAAAAAAAATTGCCTAACCATATATTTTTTTTAATGTGTGCTTATCCATAATAATGCAGAGTTGGTCTTAGTCAGTGCCAAAACAGCAATCTCGTTAAGCATTCTAACTTATAAAGCATTTTTAAAACCACAGAAATGCCAAGTATCATCATGTGATGAAAAAGGTTACTACTAGTGATGTCCTGAACTGTTCGCCGCGGACTCATCATTGAGTAAACTTTGACCCTGTACCTCACAGTCAGCAGACACATTCCAGCCAATCAGCAGCAGACCCTCCCTCCCACCTCCTGGACAGCTCACTAAGAATGCAGTTTCACAATGGATGCTGTCCAGGAGATGGGAGGGTGGGTCTGCTGCTGATTGGCTGGAATGTGTCAGCTGACTGTGAGGTACAGGGTCAAAGTTTACTCAATGATGAGTCCGCGGCGAACCGTTCGGGACATAACTAGTTACTACTATGGAATAAAGTATAACAATTTGGAGGTCTAAACTGGGATTCTGAATGGTGCTAATATTGCAAATTATTGTAATCTTAAAAGGATACTATAGGCACCAAAACCACTTTAGTTTAATAAAGTGTTTTTGTATAGATCATGTCCCTGCAGCCTCACTTCTCAATTCTCTGACATTTAAGAGTTAAATCACTTTATTCATGCGGCCCTTGTCACACCTCTCTGCAGGTGACTTACACAGGCTACCTAAACGGCCAGGGAGGTTTGCAGACTTGTTTCGTCACTCACCTCCCCCACAGCCCTCAGATCAGTTCACATATATACTCCAGATCTCAGACCAGACATCCTGCAAGTCTCTAATTGGTTATTTCCCCAAGAAGAGTAGCAGGAAAAGGGGGAAGAAGGCTCGCTAAAGCTTCAATTCATAATAACTGCAGCATTTGTAAGCTCTTTTATGATGTACCCCAAATTAACACATGTATGTAGAAATTAACGTGTGTGTTTATTGGAGGTAAAAGAGGACTAACGACTACTAAAGAGCCATTTTCTTTTTGGCTCATTTGGGCAGTGGTGTTTCCCTTTAACTCCTAAACGGCAGAGAATTGAACAGTGAGAATGCAGGGGAATGATCTATACACCAAAACTGCTTCGTTAAGCTAAAGTTATGCTGCCTATAGTATTCCTTTAAGTTAGGTGAGCAGGAATAAGCTTACCTTGATTGTTAGTCAATAATGTGCATGAGATTATAGGGACACTAAACAGCAAAACTGGTTTTAGTGCACAGTTTAGGTTTCAGGTTTAGGAAATGGCTGTGGAAAGATATTTTAAGCTAAATTTTAAGTAACTAGAATACTAAATTCATCTCCTCGGACCACATCCCCACAGCCACATCTTCAATTACCCCACCACCAGTGCACATGCCCACAGCCACAATCCTCCACCAGTACATGGCCCCACAGCCATATGGCTCGCAAGAACATCTCTTACAGCCAAATCCCCTCCCACAGCCCCCTTTAAAGTGTTTGCACAGAGACTATCATGACATAAAGGAGGGTTCAGATGTAAGGCACCATGATACACTTCGCCAGCAATGTAGTTTGGGGTTTCAATCTATGTACATAGAATGTCACCCACTATAACATTTGAAGGGGGAGATATTAACAATAGGCGCCCATGAGTCATAAGAGGGATCAACGTTAAATACAATGCGCTGGCATCTTATTTTAGTTTGACACTATAAGCTGTGTCCTTCATCTAGCGGCACTTCAATTTGCAAACAGTACCATTTGCAAACAGAACTTCCAGGTAGATTTCGTAATGCAGGATGGGTTTATCTCTGTTCTGGCAAAAATGGGATAACTGGAAGTTGATAAAACCGATATATCAATTTATTTATTTCTCCTTCTGACGGACAGTGGCTTGATGGGTTAAGTAGTGCGAGGAAGTCTTGAAACCTATCAGTTTGATATCATTTCTATACACGTAAGAGACATGGATAGAACAGTTATGTTTATGGAATAGAAAGGCACTTTTAGTGTCAGAGGAGCAGCATAATTGTTAATAATTAAGGGGGTGCAGATTGTAAACAGGACAGAAATCTGTTATCCAGAAGTAACTACCTGAATATGGTGTCCCTCTGGCAGCACTACATATTCCTGTGGAAGTAGGTGAGGGACTCCTTCTTGGGAAATAATGTACTGCACCTGCAGAAAGGGTTATAAAGAGAGAGTATAACACAATGGAGATGGGTATCTTACATATATAGATGTATGGATACAGCAAGTACCAGAATGATAAAACCATTGGAAACAACAAACAAAACTGTGTATAAACGGCAACACATTTACCTGGTTATCTGCAGTGACCAGTTGCTGAAGGGTTTGTCCATCCGCCGTTGTAATTTCTTGGATGTAAGCTGTATTCTCCTATATAGAAACAGGATACTCTAGTGTTCACTTACTTTATAATCAAGTTTAATTCAACCCACTAAAAATAAAAATAAACAACCCCTTCAACAAAAAAAAAGAGAAGAAACAATCAGCACATGGTAGTGGAGAGAAGGATAAAACCAAGAATAGAAGACAAAAAAAAACCCCCATACTTTAAGAATATTAAAAACATAACATTGCTTAATTTTAACCTGATTAGAAATAGTTTCCCCCTGCGTTAAGAACACATGTTCCTCTTCCAAAGGAGGCCCGGATGTCAGCTCTGGAAAGATAGTGAATGACAGATTGAAAAATGGCTCCTAAAAATACTATACACATACAACGTGTTCTCTCTATGTATTCTAGCCAAACCCGACCTTCGTTCTCAGGCTGTGGAACGCTGCCTCCATTATGTAGTCGCTGTATGTGGAATTTCAGATGACCTTTCCGATTAAACCTGAAAAGACAGCGCACAGGTGTAAAGGAAGGAAGGTGAAGTGAAAAAAAAAAAAAAAAATCATAAAAAAAATAAGCTTGAGAAAACAAGGCTAGACAATCAAAAAGAAGGATAAAAGACAAGAGTGTTGTAAAACAGAATATAGTGTGAACAGAAACAAACAGACATGGAAAACAAAGGAGGCTTTAGAAAGCACAAATAGAAGAACAATAAAATGGAAGGGATTACAAAATAATATAAGTGGAAGGGTACAGATGTAAAAGAAAACAATGTATAAAGAAGAGACAATAATTCAATTAAAAGATGGGGTTCGAGAAAACAAAAAGGAATTAAAATATAGCAGATTAGTACCTTTGTCCACACAAATGGCAGAAGTGGGGCCTGTGGTTGGTGTGCGTCATGGCATGTCTACTTAAATCCTTCTTATTCCTGGAGGCAAAACTGCATTGATTGCAGCGGTGAGGACGAAGATCAGCATGCAACGTCATGTGATCCTGGAAGCAAGATGTCAGAGAATTTAGAGTAAGAAGAAGATATTCAAATTGAGCAGATGTGACATTGTTGTGCATGTGTCATGGCTACTGTGAAGTTAGATGTGATCAAAAACCACAAGTGTGAGGCTAATGCTGTGTCAGAACTGAAGGTCTGTCTTTTTTAGGTAACAAAAAAAACAACAACAAAAAAAACCACAATGGAAAGACACAAAGGTGACACATGGACTACCACAATGCTGAAATTGTTAGAAACTGTTAGCGACAAATAAAAGTTTGAGAAATGTTCAGTTTTTCCAAGTTTACCAACATGGGTGGTTTGTTCACTAAACTGGGTATTCTGGAGAATTGGAAACCGAATTGAAGATAGACTAAAACAGAAAAATACCCCAACTAAGTTAAAATATTTTAGTTTTTATGTTCTGGAGAAAAGAGAAAAGAGATTACAAGGGGTCTATTTGAATAGACAGGTCCTGAACGATGGTAGAGTGTAGAAAAAAATTAGGGAGAGTATAAAGACAAGGATGAAGTTTAGGGATATCCAGCAATACAGCTCCCAGCGGATTTGAATCATGAAATAGAAATACTTAAAATAAGACATACAATCATGAGGCTGAACGAACGGGATATATATTGTAAGGTTTTCTTTGTAAAAGAGGGAGAGCACATTGTAATAGGTGCTGTAAGAAAGAACAATATGATTACATTAAAATTAGTGGAGAAGCAGTAAAGTAGAGCTTTGAATTGCCTTACCCGAACTTCAGGCCAGGACGGTGCAATGAAGTTACAATCGTGGCACTTAAATCCATTGCTTCCCTCTACGTGTGCTCTCTTGTGACTCTCCATTTCTGCTCGACCCCAGAAGGAGGAACTGCAAAACTTACAGGAAAACTTTTTAGCAGCAGGAGGTGGAGGAGAATTACCTGAGGCAAGCTGAAGGATGGAAAAATAAAATATCACAATGAAAAGAGTTTTGGGAAAATCAAGCACATGAGAGAACTGGAACACAAGGAAGAACGATACGAAATGGGACATTACCTGAACTTGTCGAGGCTTGCGTAGGACCTGAAGTGCCCTTTTGTCTTTTAAATTCTCACCCAGAAGAGTTTGAGGGGAATCATTTGGGATGTCAGCATCACTGTAATCAGCAATATAGAAATGGATATTGTATAAGAAACTTGTATAATCTAAATGGTACAAATAACCGATTTCCAGACTAAACACTACAGTATCCCATGTTGTGCTCTTTATCTACAAATGTTCTGATCTCCTGTTACACACCAGAACAATGTCACATGACTAATTTGCCTCACTTATTTCTCACAGCACCAAATTATTTTCTTTTTCCCTCCTGGAGGAATACCTGCAAAGCGATGACTGGATGTTCTCTGCATTTATTAGACTATACTCTGCAGCTGTGAATGCTGTGTTAATGGTGATCTGCTGCACGCCTGTCTCCTCAAATCCAGCCTGATGAACCTCTGACACTTCTCTTTCATCCATATGCAGGGTCAAGACCTGAGTCATTGGTGGTTCTTGGGCACCATCGGATGCCTCTGATCCTTGACCATCCCCACAAGTGCCAGACTTAACCACAGCAACCTGCATTACGATGACAACAAAAATTAAGCCTAAAATACGTGTGATGGTTCTAAACAAAAAAGTACCCATAAAACAATTTTAAACAAGGACATCAAGATCAAGCTTCAAATTCCAACAAAACCAAGTAATGTTGTTAAGGCCAATCAGATACGGATAGTAAAAGGAGTATGGAAGCTTCCTCACACCTGGAAAAAAAAACATGTATGTTTGGTGCTTTGTTCCGTACAGTGTCATTGGTGTGCCTGCTTTGAGAGACATGGTTTCATGCAGTGTAATTGTGCAATTCTTGTGCCCTGTCAGTCTTGTGTGCATGTAGAGAAGGTACTAAGCACGGAAACATTCCGATAGGATGATGGAGGATAAATATAGTGTGAAAGATTGCAATGTGATGCAACTCAACTATAGAAGGATGATAACAATCCAGGTGAAATTAATGCTGGACTGAAAAGTTTGTTGGGAATTGTGCACCTTAAAAGTGAGTTTTACATGAAAAAGCCTGAGAGTCCTCCTTAAATTTAATATAAATACTGGAATATTAATATTGCACTTTGATAACTATATGCTTTGGGAATATTTGCATGGATGTGCAAAAGGAAAAAGTATCTCTATGGCTGTTTGCCTGTAAACATGTGTAGGATTATTTCAGAAGACATACCTGCAGGCCATCACCAGAAGCATCTCTTTGTGCACTCATATTTAAAAGCAAGTCAAGAGCAGCTCGAGTCGTGAGTTCTTCCTCACCTGAAAAAAGAGGGAGCAATGAGTTTCTCATTTTCAAAACTTTTTTCCCTTAAGAGTGCTGCACATCCCCCATTACAATAACTAGCTCTTTGGTCCACAAAAATATTAAAATCTGCAGAAAGGGGCATGCACATTGATTCAAACGTAATGCTTCAGTGTAATAATATTTTTTCTCACCTTGGTCATATATGATTGCAGCAGTTTCCAGACTGTTCTGAGACTGCTCTTCTCCTGCTTGTTGTGTCGGTTGGTGCAGCATGGCTAGTTGTGTCTGGGAGTTCTGAACAGAAACAAGTCATCAAAAAAAAAAAGTTTGTGCACATTCAGAATGAACAGTAAAAAAAAATACATTACCTTGTATGCCTAGTTACTTTCATTACGGATTATTATCTACACATCTTTGTGCCTGCTGATCAATCTCGAGGCTTACATAGAAACATAGAATGTGGCGGCAGATAAGAACAGTTTGGCCCATCTAGTCTGCCTAATTTTCTAAATACTTTCATTAGTCCCTGGACTTTTAGTTAGGATAGCCTTATGCCTATCCCACTCATGCATAAACTCCCTCACTATGTTAACCTCTACCACTTCAGCTAGAAGGCTATTGCATGCATCCACTACCCTCTCAGTAAAGTAATACTTCCTGATATTATATTTAAACCTTTGCCCTCTAATTTAAGACGATGTCCTCTTGTTGTGATAGTACTTCTTTTAAATACAGTCTCCTCCTTTACGGTGTTGATTCCCTTTATGTATTTTAATGTTCCCTTTATGTATTTAAAGGTTTCTAGGTTTCTATCATATCCCCCTGTTTAGTCTTTCCTCCAAGCTATACATGTTAAGTTCCTTATCCTTTCCTGGTAAGTTTTATCCTGCAATCCATGAACCAGTTTAGTAGCCCTTCTCTGAACACTCTCTCCAAAGTATCAATATCCTTCTGGCGATATGGTCTCCAGTACTGCACACAATACTCCAACTGAGGTCTTCTGTACAATGGCATGATCACCCTCTTTCCACTGCTAATAATTACTCTACTGTTCAAGCTTTCATTCTACCCCAGCTTATTAATTCCCTCAGTTCTCTCTAATATCGTATATGATAACTGCAATATTCCCATGGCTTTCAGGTGCTCTAATCTATTAGATCATGCTCCTGACACGTGCTGCCTCCATTTTTGTATTACTAGGCCACTTTTCTGTCTCTTTCATACATGGCTCTGTGTGCTCATATTTACTCAAGAGTTTGTGTAAGTCCTAACCTCAACTTCCGGTGCTTGTTGAGCAGGGTTCTCCAACTGGTCATGTTGCTGTTTCAGTTTTTCAATTTGTTGAATGGAGAAAAAGGGTCGCTGACGGCTTGGGGTTTCCTCAGGGTGGCGCTGGACCCACTCTTGAAACAGGTTCACGTGTCGACACTTCACATGGAGGCGCAGATTCTTCTTGTGTTTGGTATGGAAGTGACAATAATCACAAGCAAATGGCTTTCCACCTAAAAAATTTTTAAAAGCAAATCAAGTAAGATTTATGTTCTACAATTAGGAAGCTATCCCATATACATATGGTTACATTATGTATGTGGCTTGCCTGAAGTTCTCCCCAACCCTCCTACCCGAGTTACCCTGGAAAAGAGCAAACCTGCGTGCCTGGTGGCTTGGTGGGACAGCAAGAAGTCCTGACGGTAGGTGTGATACTTGCACTGAGTACATTTGAATGGTTTGTCATTCATGTGAGTGAGCTGATGATTCAGAAGCTGCTTCCGATCTTCACACATGTATTCACAGAACTCGCATTTATACCTGGAGGGAGCAGACATTGTGAGAAGGTGGTGAACCAAAGTCCATGGGATTTAATTATGTATGCATTCAGCATTATGTCAACAGCATTAGCCAGAAATGTAAATGTGTCAAGGCTGTCACACAGTATGGCATGAAAAGTACTATCACAGAGTGTCCAGAGTAGATAGAAATATTTCTGTTATACTAGGGATGTTAGGTTAGTTGAGGGACAGTGATGGTGAACACTATCCTAGCAAACTACTTCTCTACCCTACCCTTACTTTTGGTGTCACATTACCCCACTCCCCCTAGCATGTAAGCTCATTGAGCAGGGCCCTCAATCCCTGTGTATCCAACTCATCTGGTAACAAATACCTGTCTGTTAGACCACCCATTGTACAGCGCTACGGAACGTGTTGGCGCTTTATAAATAATAATGGTAACCCCATATATGAGAATACAAGGGCGAGTAGGTGTTGCTCGAGCTTTTCAGAATCCGTAAAAAACAAAACAAAAACAAAAAACGTTTAGAATGTTGTGCTCTCAAGCTACAACATCAAGCTTCTCCCTACCCTTCCCATACCGAACACCAATGAATTGTATGGAGCAGGTTAACATATATAAGTGATGTTAAAGTATACAGGCTGCAAAAAATAAAGACATAAGCCCATCAAGTTCAGTCTTTCATAGACACCTTCAGGATGCAAAAATGGCAGTCACATTTCTCCTCGAATAATAATAAAACACGTTACCCAAACATCGTGACCACTTCAGTGATTTGACGTAGTCATGGAACTTGGAGTCTGTATGTGCAGCATTTCAGTTTAAAATGTTGTCCATAAAGAGTTAAACCCTTTCCTGAGATGTAACACCATCTCCACTAGCATCATCATGTCAGTTCTCAGCATATTTGGTGTATGTCGTCAGCAACAGACAACCCACCCCCCTCAGTGTATTATCACTGTAATTTTAATAAGAAAAACTATTTGCGCAATATATATTGAAAAAAAAAATGTTTTGACAATGGGATGTAGCATCTGAATTTGCACAACAAACCCATCTACTTAAAAGTCCCCCACTATATAATTCACCGTATTACTCTGTTTTTCCAACCTAATGATGCTACCAAACATTGTGTTATGCTGAAAGAATAAACTCACTAATGCTTTGAAGCTTTTTAAAAGAAACAGTAGTGTTCCAATTCTTGGAATTCTAGAAGGAGAACATTCATATAGGTTGATCTGAGCACATTTAAAGTAAGATACTGTAGACCATTTAAAGGAATACTAGAGTTTAGAATACAAACATGTATTCCGAAAGTTAGAGTGTTTATCTATCCATTTAGATACATGGACTCTCCCGAAACAAATAAAATAGTTTTACTTACCTTGCCACACCAGTCTTGACGCAGCTGCCTCTATTCCCCTGAGATCCCTTACAGGGGCTAGTAGGCACACCTAACAATTGCTGTGCCTGTCAGCATCTCTTTAGTGCTTTCGGTATCCCTATCTCCACTTCCTTGGAAGGCCCCTACATTATCTGAGCAAAATGACCCTCTAGCTATCTCCAGACAGCTTGTCTAAAATAGCTCTGCAAAACAGACTCACAAAAAATACAGAATCTGAGACCTATTTAATATCCTTAAAAACATCTGTCTCATTTCTTCGATTAACATACAGCTGCGGTATTTTATCAGTGTATAGCTCTCAAATGTGCGTGTTTATAGTCAAAAAGAAACAATTAACATTTATATCGAAAACAGCATTCTGGCTCTATTATTTATATCCTTTGCAATATGCATTACTTGCTAAAGGAATTCTGGCAGCCTACTTAAAATATAGTAGTAATTCACAAACTGAAGACAGCGCACTCACACTTAGGAATCCAGGTGCTTATCAGGGCCAGGGTTGGCAAAACCCAGTTTAGTAGATAACATAAATTAGGTCGAGGCACTCAGGATTGCTGCAGAAAGGCAGGTTTATTGGGACAAAAAGTGCAACGTTTCGGCCTACACAGAGGCCGTTAAAGGCCTCTATGTAGGGCGAAACGTTGCATTTTTGTTCCCATATTGAAAATATTGGGCATAAATTGTCTAAAAGGAGAACTATATAGACACCCAGACCACTTCAGCTTATTGAAGTGGTCTGGGTGCAATGTCCCTGTCAGTTTAACCCTGCAGTAGTTGTTATTGCAGTTATTGAGAAACAGCAATAATTACATTGCAGGGTTAAGTCTACCTCTAGTGGATGTCTACCAGACAGCCACTAGAGGCGCTTCCGGGCTATTAGGCATCTTTTGGTTGCCTAACTGATCCTGGACGTACTCACACTATGCATGAGGACATCTAGCGTCAGCTAAAACCCCATAGGGGTGCATTTGGTTGACATCGGCAAACGTCAGGGGAGGAGGTGTGAAAAAGGCACTCTAGAACTAGAAATACAATTTTGTATTCCTAGCCTATGGGTTTCCTTTAAGCAAAACAACATTAATATATCACATTCTGTAATATGCATAGAAAGCTTTAATAGCTTGATTTAAAACAGAATTAAAATACAGACTCGCCTCCATCACCCCCTCCCCCCCCCAAAAAAAACAATAGCTAACAAAGTATAAGGTAAGAAATCAGAGAAACCAGAAGATGCTGAGAAGGAGAGATGAATCACCCAGAGAACACATTAATCCACAAACCATCATCATGCAAAGCATTCATTATGAACCTGGCAATCACAGAGTAACACAGGAGGTTAATTGTGCAGAAGAATTCCTAGGGATTCTGGCAAGGGAAGCCTTAACCTACTCTATACTTAGCACTCTCACAAAAAGAAGGAACGAAAGAGAAATAATAGTCTTTTTAAAGCGTGTGCAACAGATTTACATTGTTACCGAGTCTCTCAAATTGTACAGTGTAATAGGGGGCTTAAATTCAAGTCAGGCCAAAAATTCACCACTGCAAATCTCCTACTAATAACAATAGACAGGGTAGGAGAATGCAAAGCCCAAATAACTCGTAGAGCATCTAACAATTCCTAGCATTTGGGTGCACGCTAGGCCTTGCACTAAACTTTGTGCAGATGCCTGTGGACTCCATATTTGTAGTCTTTATCATTGTGGCAAGGATATAGCAGAAATAAAACCGTGATAAATATAAAGTTATAAAGCTGCCAATAATCTGGCTAGCACAACGTTTAGATAAAAATGTAATTATCAGTTACAAGTAATGCACAGAGACTTTACGAGACAAATAGATTATTTGTGAAGAACGCTTACCTTTTCAAAGTGTCCCTGCATATTTACTTTTATAAGGAGGAGGAGAGAGGAACTTACTCATGATCGCTCTCCGTTATAATTCCCTTAGCTGGCCTGGGAGATATGTAGGATATATGGTTTTCAATATGTATGAGAATGGGGGCTTACAGGCAGTTATTCCATCACATCTACAGGAGGTTAAAGTGCCAGTACCCTACTGTATTGTTTAAAGGACCACTATAGGCACCCAGACCACTTCAGCCTAATGAAGTGGTCTGGGTGCCAGGTCCAGCTAGGGTTAACCCCCCTTTTTTTTTTTTTATAAACATAGTTTCAGAGAAACAGCTATGTTTAGAAAATCACAGTGAGAAGACGCCAGCATCCATAGGAAAGCATTCTAAATGCTTTCCTATGAACTGGCTGAATGTGCGCGCGGCTCTTGCCGCGCATGCACATTCAGCCGATGACGTCGCTAGGAAGGAGAGGAGAGCTCCCCGCCCGGCGCTGGAGAAAGGTAAGATTTTAACCCCTTCCTCTCCCCAGAGACCGGCAGGAGGGGGACCCTGAGGGTGGGGGCACCCTCAGGGCACTATAGTGCCAGGAAAACGAGTATGTTTTCCTGGCACTATAGTAGTCCTTTAACGGCAAATATGAAGGCTGATGATCTCTACTGTGTAGCCACCGTTACAATATATCTGATAATCCAAGGGAGTGGATCAAGCTTAGTAGGCAAAGAAAATTTTGAACAGGAAAATTAAATGAAGTCAAGATACCAATACACTAATACCAAATAATATTACAAACTCCCTTCGACAAGTGAGTGACACATATAGAAGTCACAAAACAGCCCAACGGATATAGTTTAACTGACAGTTAACTTCAGAGTTTAATCCAGGAACTTTGCAAAGTATTTTAGATCATGACATTTGATACATTTTACACAGTGAGTACTCTCAGCCAAGCATATCAAACAAATGGCAGTTGATAATAAATGGCCGTTCATAGTTAATCTAGGCGGCTTGAAAAAAAAAAAAAAAAAAAACACTGCAACTTTGGGTAATTATCAGCACTAAAACATATTAAATACTCCTTCGCACACTCTTTGTTTCAAGGGAGTTTGTAGGTTTTTACAGAATGCCTATCGAGAGCAGTTTCTTTTTTAAAGTTCCGTTTCTATTTTCTCTTACTAAAGGCAAAAATGCTTAAAAGATAGGGAAGACCCCCGTCTCCAGCGACAGCCGAACCCATGAGTCCAGAGATGCGTCATAAATGTAGACTTTTGCTAGCTGAATTGGAGATACCAAGTGACCTAGTTACTATTTCTGAGCCCCAGTATGCAGCAATTGTATGCTCCATTTCACATCAGATTTGTTCACCAAGGCGAAAAAATGAAGAATATCGGTGGCACAAAGAAATCCAACCACCTTTTCTCCGCTGATCACAGAGACACACAAGGCTACATATATTAGGCTTTTTTTTTTTTTTTACATCCTCAAACTTTTGCTCTACACATACATCTATCAATATTACACTTACACACACACAACCTCCTCATAATTACATTTTGAAACTGCTAAATACTCTTGAATAGTCAAAGCTTAGTTTTCGCTGGATAATTAAATCCCATGTTAATGCATTATTGATTACTGCTGAGGACTCACAGTAGATTCTCGGAGTATACAAACAGTCCAACATGCTGGCTGATCACCATTAAGAGGCAACATGTATACTGAAAAGATGTAACTGGTGATAAATATATACAAGATCTTTGCTTGTTAAACAGAAAATTACTGACCGGCCATTTCTCTGGGGTCTTTGAATAACACCGGGAAATATGGGAAGAATAAAAAAACAAAACACAACTTCATTATCTATACAAACAAACACTGTAGTGCTTACCAGGGTTCCATTAAAAAAGAGGGAATAATCTACACCCAGCCAAATTTTACGAGTGTTATGGTGGTCTGAATAATTAGTGGCAATTAAATTGGGGGATTGCCCCGGACACCCACATATAAAATGAGGAGTGTGCTAGTTTGTTTCAGCTCATTACACAAGTCTTTGTGAAAGAGGATGGGGAACCTATTAATGTGGTCTCCAGTCTTCTAATCTGTAGCTGGACATCCAAACAAATTGACAGCATACAAGATTTGATGCGAGGAAACACTATTCTGCATAAATTAATGCACCTCTGAAATGTGTATGACAGAGTGATAACGTCAGCTGGAATTTTTAGTATAATCGAGGAATGATGCTTTGCAGACATGCTCTGGGCCACTCCTAACTGTAATAATATTAGGTAAAGAAAAAGTTGCATGTTGTTGAAAATGTAACACCTGCTGTGAGCCATTATTGCAGATTCGTTATAAAATATAAAAAGTAGATGCATTGTATGTAAAGATATGGTGCTATAATTGTATTCTGGGTGAGTACCTGGTGCTGTCCACACTCTGAAGGTGAGTCAGAAGATGCATTTTAAAAGTATAACGCTTCTTAAATGCTTTTCCACACTGTGAACAAATCAAAATAGTGTAGTGAACATTAAAAAAAAATAAACACACGACATGTGTTCCTAAAAATATGAAAAAAATTGTGTTGGTTACCTTGTCACACATATGTGGTTTCTCAGCACTGTGAGTCTTCAAATGTTGTGTCAACCTCTTTTGCATATTATAAACACGGTTACACACAGGACACGGGTAGGAACTTTCTTTCACGGGCTGCAAGGAAGAAGAGAAAATGAGCTTGCTGGTGATGAAATGTCTACCATTAAACAATCTGTGGCTTCATAAGAGTAACTAGATGAGAACTAAAATGAAAAATGCAATGGGACGTAAACAAAATGTCCAGGTCTGTGGGTGAAATGATGGAGCAGACAGGGCAAAGAATCTATCATACATTGTACTAATAGTAATAAGAGTTCGAGCAGTGCTTTTTTTATATTAATGCCCCCCCATTTTCCATATTGTCTTACACCTCACATAACGATACAAACCTTTTGATGGGGATTAGAGCAGGGTAGTCCAAACCAGTCCTCAACACCAACCAACAATCCAGGTTTTGTCAGTAACTCCAATGGAATAAAACAGGGAAATGCATAAATCCTGGATTGTTGGTTGGCCATCAGGACTGTTTGGTACTGGTCTAGAGGGAGGAAGCTGGACATCTTCTCTTTGTCTCAGACGTCTTTTACTTGCTCCCTCGCGTCAGCAAGAGTTTAAAAAAAAAAAAATAATCAAAAAAATTAATAATACAGGCTTGTAGGGTGCACAGATCTAATGCTAGACCAAAGGACATTATTGCCGGACAATTGGTCCACTTGGTCTCTTGGCAGAAACACAATTGCACCTGCTGCAGCTTTAAAGGGTTACTCCAAGCACCATGACCACTTCAGTTCTGTGAAGATGCAGACACACTCATTCATTATCTAAAATCGGTCAGCTGATGCACTCAGCCAGTGAATGAGTAACAGGATCAACATCTGGCTTCTGCCCAAACCCAACTACAGAGCAGACCCTGCACCCTGGAGGAGCAAGTAAGAGGGCAAACTGCTGGTAAATGGCTTGCTCCATTGGCAGAGAATGGCATTAAGGTACACTTCTACCATCATAACCACCACAGCAGATATGTTGACTAAAGAGGGCAGCTTATGTAAGAAGTATGGTATGGGATCTAATGCACTTACCATTTCTGTTTTCTTCTTTCTAGATGAGAGAGAAAAAAAACAAAACATTTTTTTTTGTTTTACCAAGTCACACAATCTCTATTTTTAAAAACAAATTCCCCTTTATCGGACAGAAATACAAATCAAACATACGTAGGCACACTAAAAACACACAAAATATGTAACCCTAAATGAGAACTTTCAATTCCAGTAAGCACTAACAATCTAAAAATGAACCTGGAGTTCAATATACTCAAATAAATTACAAAACAATGCTAAACCTGATCTTGAAACGGTATTTGCTTTGCCAATCTGAAAAGCCTTGATTGAAATATTAAAGGAATCTAAATTATGAATTTACCTTATACAGACAATGCATTAATAAAATGAAAAAAAGAATACTCGCTTCTGATATGGTTCTTTAGGTCATAGTAGCTTAACTGGAAGCATAGCAGACTTAGAAAATTTTTCTATTTTGACCGTAGAGGGATACTATACGGCCAGGAATACAAAGTTGTATAAATAAAACAGAATCACAGATGGAATATCAAGCCTAGGTGGAAAAAGGTTTCTACATAAATGAAAAACCCACGGATTCCAATTACGATATTTGGTCTCATTGGACAAACAGACCAAAGAGGTAGCACTCCGACACCAAGCCACAGTATGTAAGTATTAAAAACATATTTTCTGATAAACGTTTGTAAGCATGTTTTAGACCTGATGGGAAAGATATTTTGTAAGACTCTTTATATTAGCTCTACTTTGATGTATGATACATGTTCTACTTTAATAATAATAATAATAAATAAAACGTAAGACAGACTGTGCAAATTACTTAGGATATCTATGACCTGTGCGCTGTACTTTATGAAGGCAAGAGAGGAAGCATAACTTCACTTTGTTCATAGTGTTTAAAAACACTGCAAAATACTGAAACCTTTTTTCTTGTGATAAATGTACTTTTAACCCCTTAACGCCGTAACGGCTTTCAACCCCAGCCGCGATCCTCTTCTGGAGGGCTGCCTCACAGCCCAGGCAGCCCTCCCCCGGCAAATGAGGCCCCCGGGGGCCATGTGATCGCTCGCAAAGAGTGATCACATGGCCCCTTATAGCTGGCTGTGGATCTGCAAGCAGGGGGACTGTCTGAAATGTCAGACCGTTCCCCTGCTGGTGGGGAGTGTAAAATAAATTAATGAAACATGTTTTAAAAATAAAATAAAAATTATATATATATATATATATATATATATATATATATATATATATATATATATATATATATATATATATATATATATATATATACACACACACACACACACATACACATTATATATATGTAACGTCAAAGTGTATTTTAATATTAATATAAATACATATATTAGTATTAAAATACCCTTAGAATGACGTTACACACATACATATATATATATATATATATATATATATATATATACACACACACACACACGTATAATTTTAATATAAATTATATATTCATATGTAATTTCATTCTAACTATTCTGTTAAAATATATATATATATATATATATATATATATATATATATGTAACAAAATACACTTAGAATGACATTCTATATATAAAATACAAAGAATCGCAAATAAAATATATATATATATATAGATAAATACATATAATTACATAAAAGATTACATTAGTATACACGTAGAATTTAAATACCTCTAAATGCATATATATTAAAATTCTACGTGTATATTTAAGTAATCTTTTAACATAATTATGTGATTTGATTAATTAAAATTTGATTGACATACCTGACAACACAGGGAGAAAGTGCAGAGAATTTAATTCGTAAGCACTATATTTGACCCTGTAACTCTCCAAGACACCATAAAACCTGTACATATGGGGCACTGTTTTACTCAGGAGACTTCGCTGAACTCAAATATTAGTGTTTCAAAATGATAAATTGTATTACAACGATGATATTTTAAGTAAACGAATTTTAAGTAAACAAATTTTTTTACAAACGAACGGCACTTTTATGGACTATATTATTGTTGTAATATGTTTTACTGTTTTAAAACACTAATATTTGTGTTTACTGAAGTCTCCCGAGAATAACAGTACCCCCCATGTACAGGTTTTATGGTGTTTTGGAAAGTTAGAGAGTCACATATAAGGCTTGCATTTCATTTTTTTGACATTGAAATTTGCCAGATTGGTTATGTTGCCTTTGAGAGCGTATGGTAGCCCAGGAATGAGAATTATCCCCATGATGGCATACCATTTGCAAAAGTAGACAACCCGAGGTATTGCAAGTGGGGTATGTCCAGTCTTTCTTATTAGCCACTTAGTCACAAACACCGGCCAAATATTAGTTTTTTGCTTTTTTCACACAAAAACAAATATGAATGCTAACTTTGGCCAGTGTTTTTGACTAAGTGGTTACTAAAAGACTAAACATACCCCCCACTTTCAATACCTTGGCTTGTCTACTTTTTCAAATGGTATGCCATTATGGGGGTAATTCTCATTCCTGGGCTACCACACCGTCTCATAGGTAACATTACTAATCTGGCAAATTTCAATTTGAAAATGGAACGTTCTATATTTGACCCTGTAACTTTCAAAAACACCATAAAACCTGTTAATGGGGGGTACTGTTGTACTCGTGAGACATCGCTGATTACAAATATGTGCATATTTTTGCAGTAAAACCTATTATGACATTAACAGCTAAAATGTCAGACGGAAATACAAATTTGTTTAAAAATCTTATTTTCTCAATTTTTTTTACATTTTATTCATAATAAATGATGTTCCATATATGAATAGTTAATGATAAATTAAAGCCCTGTTTCTCCTGAACAAAATGATATATAATAAGTGTGGGTGCACTTAATGTGACAGCGGTGAATTACGGTTTAACAGACATATAACGCAAATTCCAGTTTTTGTTTACGTTCTGATCAGAACATGTACTATTGACTCCGTCCTCCTGAAGGGGTTAAATTATAAAAAAAACAAAAAAAACAAACAACAACCCAGAAGAACTTCAAGCGAGAGATAGAGAAACTGGATACATAGAATGGAAAGCAAATAAAACCAAAACATAGAAAGTGCCCACTTCTAACTTCACAGGATGTTTATTGCGATAAGTGCCTATAGCTATAGCAATTAGTAACGTATGAGGGAGGCTGGGAGAGCACTGTACTAAAACATCTGCAAGATGCGTAGCACATGAAATAATTCATTAATATATCTGCTTCTATAAAAAGTGCATTTATAATAATTAAAGGTCAATGTTAATATGAATGTTAATATGAAGGTGATGAGAACCCCCCCTTCTCCCACACTGCCGTTATTTAATCACCCTGGATAAGCAGAAAGAAAGAAACTCAATTCAACATAGAGATGAACCAAGTATCATGATGGGCAGTTGGTGAAGAAATGAAAAAGAAAACCTAATCTTTAAATTATTTTATATACAGAACATGGAATAGTCTGGAGGGTACGTAAAGTGATACAACACGATTATAGTGATATATCTCTGCCTGCCATTGCAATTTTAATAAATCTAGCATAAGGAAAGTGCCCAAATGAAGATCACTTAAAGTAGCCACTCACTGTTCTCGTTTGTGTATTTCTGCGTGTCTGATTACATCCTTCTTGTACACACTGGTGTAATCACAATGTTCACATTTGTGTGGTTTGTTTCCTTTATGGTTAAACATGTGTTCCTGGAGGGAGACATAAAAAGAAATTAATAAGCCTAAATAAAGCATAAATGACTTAAAAGAGTTTACAAAATATCAATTAGAGGAGAATGGATTAATGGTTGGATAAATATGCTATGTACAGCTATTCATGTAAACAATGTACTACATATACATTTGGAAAGAGTATTTTTTTGGTTATATTCTCCACTTATAAGAAGTTTATGTTGCTTAAAAAATTGACAGTTTCTTTTGATAACTATCCAATAAACAATAAATTATGTTGCAATTGTTATTTTTCTGTGTTAGACATAGCTAATTTAGGCCATTGATGCTATTCGTATTTCCATTTCTCCCACCCACTAACCTTAAGTGAAGACCATCTACGACACTGATAACTACACTGAAGGCACCGATAGGTCTGAGGATCATTCCCATCATGTGAGCTCACGTGGAAGGTAAAATCCTCAAGTGTAAGGAAACGGGAACCACACACACGGCACAGGAATGGCCTGAGCAACTGCTTATTTGGCGGCTTGTAGTACCTAGAGAACACATACACCAGATTAGAGAGGATATTTACTGCACCAGAAAGCAGTGTGAAAGAGGTGATTTGAATTTAGTTATATTACAGAGTGCAAGACTTAGAAATACCTACAGCAACTAAAGATCATGAAATAAAAGGCTAAAAGAACTAAAAGCAATTTTACTTTATGCATTCATCCGTTTTTGACAGTTTCTACCAGTATAACTATGAACAATAACAATTGAAACATGAAAGAAAAAAAACCCCAAAAAACCAAGAGCCCTCTCTTATGTAATCTGTTCCCACATTGCTGTCTTGCTTCTTCTAATTGCCGGTTTGGCACACAAAAAAAGATTATTGCTAATTTTGACATGCTCTTCACTAACCTGCGACTTCGGTACCTTCTGTACTTTCTGCCACGGAAATTCTTAGGGATGTATCCACGTGTTCTATTGGGTAGTTTCTGCTCCTCGTGGTTGTTAGAAGTGGGACCGTTGTTTTCAGAAGCAGGGGTACTGGTGGCAACTTCATCCTGATTGTCTGTAACTGTTGGCATTGTTGTATCCACCTCAGGACCTACAGAGAGCACCACATAAGCAGCAGATCCAATGCAACGAGGCAATACGAACAAAGAGGCACACAACTCACCCTGAGTACGCTGAATCTTACGTGGACGTCCAGGCCGTCTACGTGGTCTTTCCCTCGCAAGGGTTCCATTGGAAGATTCAAACTGATAATTGCGACTTGTCTCTTCTCCTGGGCTGTAGTCACTGTCACCTACAAAACACATCAAAATGAAACCAAGGTTATGGGAGTAAGTGCATTCACACTGTCATAAATAATAAATATAACATCTGTAGGTATTAATAATTAAACTGTAACAGTGGCAACTTGCCCATCATTTCACATAACAAATGATCACATCAATCAGTGCTCCTGTGTAGCTAAGCACATCAAAACAGACTCCACATTTAACTGTATAGCAGGCCAAAAGATCTAAGTGTTCCTACCATCTGGATCATCTATGGCTCCAGCATCCACAATATCATCATCCTCTTCCTCCTCTTCTTCCTGTGTCTGCTCTGGTTTTCTATCTTTGTCCTTTTGCTCATTCTTACCTGAGAGAGGGGGAAAAAAGGCAAAAGATCAGGTCTGTTCTAAGCAGGCAATTTTAAACTAAAATTATAAAGTTATGCAATGATATAGGGTGTCATTCATATATATGGCTGCAAGTTTATTTTAACTATATATGTAGATTCAGGGTTATCAGCACGTAGCTCTGTAGATGCAGTGGAATTGCGGCTCCCATGATGCACTGCAATCCTCTTAAAATTAAAAACTGCATATGGTTTGCTTAGAGAACATGTAAATCAACTGGATAACCAAACCAACTGGACAGTTAGCTACAGGTTGATATCATATTCATGTGTAAAGGGAATGCCTTGAGTTTTCAAACAAACTAACACAGGCCATTTGGAGACTTCTTTTGAGTCGGCAAAGGTTAGATCATTGTACGGTTGAAGCTAAAAATCACAAAAAGTAGCAGTTTGGTTATCAATGCAGCAAAAAATGTGGACTTGTGTGTCCATTTTAAAATTTGTGTTTTTACCTACTGTAAGCGATATTCAATCTCAAAAAATATATTCGGTTAAAACTGTTAAATTAATGTTATTTTCAGAATCTGACTTCTCATCCTTAAGGCCTGCAGAAGAACAATATGAGAGGCCTCCATGGTCCCTCACATAGTTACCACTGAACCAAAAGAATCCTCAGCACTCGTCAATGTATGCATTTGGCTGAATAAGATTCTTTTGATTTTTTACAATTGATATGATCTGGTTGAATATTCTTCCTACAAGCACCGTAAAAAAAAAAAAAAAAAAAAAAAATTGCTTGAGGAGGGCAGTCTATTTCTTTTTGTTCCTTACAGTTACCATCGAAGTCGGTCCAAAGTAATAAAAAGCTACGGGATCTACTGTGCCTTGTGGTCTATATGCTTGAGTACCACTTCTGGTAACATTTGTATGTTGGTTGAGTTGAAGAGCATAGGTGCTGCACATTTTAAATCTTATAGGGGTGTAATGGGGACATTCAGAAGTTGGAGTATTGGTAGTACTGTACGTATTGTTTCTATAAGCAAGTTTGGATACCATGCAGCTAACTAATTTCTTCATACTGGTTTATTGTCTGCTTTTTAAAAACATTGTTTTCTTAATGTATTCTAAATTTACAGGTTGCCCAAGAATTTCAACAATAATTTCTTCATGGAAATATTATGTTGACACTAGTGTCTGTGCACACATTGAAGAACTAGCTGGAGGAAGACTGTTGTGATATATTTACTGAACGGTCTTAATTTAAAGCTGAGAAAGTTCAGTTTCCAAAGTCTCAATCTCACATTAAAGTAAATAAATGGTCGGATTAAAGGTTTGCAATGCAATTAATAAAATTTATGTTGCTGATTTATGAGGTTTATTTATTATTTATTTTTTACCTCTTTTGACATGACGTTCTCTCACATGGCGCAACAACGTGGTCTTGGACACACTCTTGTACTGACACATCTTACACTTGTATTGTTGCACTATGACAACTTCCATCATCCCTTCGAGAGCTTCCATATCAGACACACCCTCAGGTCCACAAGAGCCATGTGATGGAGACATCTCACCAGGCGCCACAGGACTCAGTGTTAGCTGGTAATTAGGAGGAGCTGAAACAATGGTTAACATTGCTTAAAAGTAAATACATAATCTCCAACATCTAAAGTATAAAGTACCATTGGATTCTCACAAAATTAATCTCATACTGGTTGCAGAACCAAACTCTATTTAACCAAGAACAAGGTCATGTAAAAGTATATATACACTGTACATCATAAAGCGGTTTACTGAACTGTGAATAATATGCAAATAATCATGTTGTATCATCTACAAACAAGCTAAAAGTAGAATGTTTCATTTGCAGGTGAGTCTAATAGGTAGAAACTCTTTGCAACCTCTTCTAAACATGCATATTTATACATGCCAATGTAATGTAATAAGTAGATGTAAAAAACCGATTTGGTTGCTCACTACACCTTGAATAACATGATTGCTTCATGACAAAGGTCATTGCAGCACAAAATATGGTGGAACTTTAGAAACAAATAAGTTCATTTTGGTTAATTTAGGTACATATCACTGGACTCCAAGATGCCCTAGCGATGTCTCATTTGTCCTGCAGATGTAGAAAATGCAAAAAGAGGCAATATGGCTCACATACACGGAGATGCCTAATGTCAGTATGTCTATACTGTGAATAAATAAGTTGGATAGAATGCAGAAGGAGATTAAATATGTGGCCAAGTTTCAGTATAAGTTAAATGCCTTATAGTGACACAGTACAGAAAACAAACAACTATACACAAGTATATACTCTTTCTCAATATCTAGCAAACAATCAAAAATTCACCCTACACATTAGGCCAACTACTATCCTGGTTGTTAATGTCTCCAGAATAAAAAGTATATGCTATACTTAAGTGGTGTCCAACTTTGACTATCCAGCATACAACAGTCTGCCAGCTGAAGAGATAATGTGTAACATATTAACAAAATATTTCACTACTCACGGTCATCTGAATCCTGCAGGATTAGGTACTGTGTAATCTCTTGGTTCTTGCCCTCGGAGCTTGTCATGATGCAGCCTGAAGACAAAAGAGGGTCATTGTAAGAACTCACAACTACACAGGGAAGGAGGGTTTCAAAGTGTCAGAATGCCTTTTTATGAAAGGGTTTAAACGTTTCCAGCACGCACCTCTCTTTCCTATTTAAACATGTGCCTCCAATTAATCAATGCTTGATATAGAGTCTCAAACAAACAGTTTGTGTTCGTAGCGGGCCACTAAGTGCCATGCCCACTGAATATTCACATGTTTTGCCTTGTATTTTGTGTTCCCTATGTTTATTCTGAGGATTTTCCCTTGTACTCTGTGTCTCCCCAAGTATCTATATGTAACATGTGTTTTACCTGCTACCCGTTCGGGAGAGTTCATACGAACAGCTTCTGTTCGGCTCCCAAACGGGGACCAACCGACACCTCATTTCGAATGTCTGTTTAGAACGTTCACACCTCGTAACGAGGTGTGAAAACGGCAAACCGCAAGGAAACAAGCGGCGCCTGCTTCCCCTGGGTGGCTGCCGGTTCGTATAACCGAACACCAACCAGGGGCAGCATTCGTATGCCGAACTGACATACGTACACTGTCTCAGGTCCCAGTGCCGAGGACCGTTCTACCCGCTCCCAACAGAGCTATAATCACTGCGTTCCCCTCGTGGGAGCTACGAGGCAAGCCCCAAAGGTCACCCCCCTGTATGGAATATGTTTTAATGTGTGTCCCTGTGTACTTTTGGTATCCCCCAGAGCGGGAGATTGCAATCTGTAACCCAACCCCCTCCTGTCTGGGATCGTGTTGAACTGAATGGAGACCCTCTGCGGGAGATTGCAATCTGTAACCCAACCCCCTCCTGTCTGGGATTGTGTTGAACTGAATGGAGACATAAATGCTGTGTGTTCCCAAAAAAGATTGACAGTTTTGTAACCTCCAGAACTATGTGTCGTCTGGTTACTGAAGGGAAGGAAGATTTAACCCCTGTGCCTGCTGTTCCAGCTTGCAGGGGATGCAGTTAAGACCAAGAGCTTCCAGGACTGAGTGCTGTCCAACCCTGGGACTGCATGGAGCTAAGTCCCCTAACCCTGTAAGAGTTCCTGATCGGCTGAAGGAAGGGAACTAGAGGAGGTAATCAGTCGGGTTACCAGGTGTCCCGCTACAGTGTTCCTCCTAAGATATCTATTTGTTTGCGGTTTACGGATTCCTGGGTCCGAACTTTGGAACCGCTATCCTGATCTCTCTCTTTCTCGCCTAATACTGTTGTACTTCAGCCTAATTCTCAGATAGACCCCATGGCTTTTAAACTCTGCTCATGGTATAATGAGGACACTCCCGCTTATGACCCACAGCATGGTTACTTTTTATTACCAGACTGACTTCCTGGCTTTATATTACGGTTACTTGACAGCCTTCATGACATACAAACTTGCACACTGAAATCCCACAATGCTGATTGCTAAATTCACTGTACAGTTACCATAACGTTTGGACAAATCTTCAGGACGTCTAAGCTTTTGGTTGGTAAAATTGACAACTCAACTGCTATGCCCTCTGCTAGGACATCACCAGCTGGAAGTTATCAGACCAAGGCCTTACAATCACGTTCTAAAACTTTCCTCATTGTTATACACGGCTTCATTGCTCTTGGATTGAAACTTCGTTGACAAACATCAATGCAATATACAACTCATACTTCAGAGTTCCATTTTTTTTCAATTTGTTCAAGTGCTTCTAAACCTTTCATTTAAGTTACTGTATCCATCCACTGTTGCAAGCTGCACTACAAAAACCAAAAATGTGACAAAGGCAAATATTTTTGCCAAGGCCCTAGAGCAAGCATGTCAAACTCGCGGCCCACAAGGACCATCTTTGCGGCCCAGCGAGCCACGAGTACATGCTTAGGGTTATAGCAGACGAGGCACCTGCTTTCCATATATTGCAGGTGTCTACTCTGCTAACACTTACCCGGCTGGGGAGGATGGCTGGGAGGGAGCTCAGTGTTCCAGCTCCTCACTGCTCCCTCGCACGCGCCGACTGAAGTGAAGCCGGGCGCCGGAATATGACTTCATATTCCAGCACCCGGCATCTCTAAACCGCGTGAGGGAGCAGTGAGGAGCAGGAAGGACCCCAGGGAGATGCCCCCCATCGGCTTCATAAGTTAGGGAGAAATAATGAAAAGTGTGTGTATAAGTGTCAGCGAGTATGTCTGTGCGTGTGTCTGTCAGTGAGTATGTGTGTGTGCTGCCCACATAAACTTAAACCTTGTTTATGTGGCCCGTGCCACACTTTGAGTTTGACATGCTTGCCCTAGAGGAAAAAAGGGGAAAAAAACGGAGCACAGTTGTGAAGTATGCGTGTAAAACAAAAGGACATTATGTGCAGTAGTTACAGTATTGAGATGGACAAGCAGCCTCCTTACCCTGAATAAGCTGAGGGTTAATAGAGCTTGTTGAGTCAGAGTGCAGCAGGACAGCTCCTGTGTTCTGGGTGAAAAGTGAGTGGCAAACACTGCAAACTCCCGGCACAGAACAGGAAACGGGTTGGCAAGAATCCATCTGTGTGTGGGCCATAGTCTCCTGAAGAACAAACTCAAAAAAATCAAAAATATGAAGGATAAAAGAGATTGCACATAACAAAGCAGGTAAGAGAGAAACGGAAAGCAAGGAAAACCAACAAGTCTGAGAATTTGTATAATAGAAATATACATACTGTAACAGCATTATGAATTGAACCTTCTGGTGCCACTGTGACTGTGTTATCTGGGATCAGCTTCAGGTCAGAATTCGTGGGACCTGAACTACTCACACTTACGTCCTGTGCATTAATGTCTTCTAGGTTTTGCTGAATTCCAATGTTGGGGGCACCCTCGATATTTGGACTCTTTTTTAAAGTACATTTGGTTCCTAAATGTGAACTCAGCTCAACATGATCTATACTTTGCTTTATTCCCATATTTTGATTTTCTATATCCAATCTCTGACATTTGCCTTGTTCATCATAGGACTGGATTACATGGGAGTCCATGTGATATTTGTTAAGAACTGTGCATAAATTATGTGTCCCTGTATTATCTAAAATCTCTTCCCTGCTTGGATTTTGTGTGTTATGTAAGTTATGTATTGTTTTTGACTCCACCAACCCAATATTTTTTGGGCTGTGTTGAATATTTAGATCTTGTATGCCATTGTCTGGTATCAGTTTCATGCTGGGTTCATTTATACAAGAGTTATCTGACATTGGCTCAGTGTTGGACTCCTGCAATATCATAATTTGAGGACTCTGGTTCATGACTGTCTCACATCTGTCCATGTGTAGGCTTGGCTCCTGTGTGTCCGTACTAGTTTGTCTCAATGATATTCCAGAATCCTGTGGTTCTTGGCTATCTGGCTTTGAAGTTATACACATATGTTGTTTGTTCAGGTGTGAGGTCTGTCTTATGTCCATTGTCTTGGCATCCATGTAATTTAAGCCCTGGTTTACGCAAGACTCATGAGGCAACATAGCATTTGTTTTTTGCCCATTGGCCAACACATGTGAGTCCAAAGCTGTAGAGTCCTGGTTTATACAAGTTTTCTGAAGGGCTATATAATTTGTCTTCAGTCCTACGTCTATCTCTTGGACATCAACATCATTAGAGCCTTGGTTTGTACAAGAATCATGAGAGATTATATCATCTGGCCTCTGTTCCATGCCTAGATGCTCAATGTCCAATATTTTGGCAGTCTCTTCTGGAGCAGGAGTTATATGAATGGGAGTTGCCTCATTCGCACACAATAATTCGATCGAGTCCCTGTCTACTCTTTCAAAGACAATTTCTTCCACATTTTCACATTCAACATCCATTTTTTACAAGCGGTGAACTCTGCAGAGAAAAATAAAATCAGTGAGACATAGATGATATTCACTTTGGCCTTGACTCAATATGGTTGGATAAACATTTAAAATTATTTATTATCATGAAAACAGCTTAATTTTTACAATACTTTTGATATATTTTATATAAGATATATGTATTGATATTTAAATATGCTGAAAAAGTAATTTGAAAAGTTTATCCAAAAATATTAAATCATTTGAAAAAGCTTATCCAACAATATTCAAACTTTAGCTACATATTAAATATTTTCACATATCATAGGACCCGATCAATTGATGTCTTTTTACATTAACATAACAGAAAGTCACTTTTGGTAATGTTGATATCTAAAATATATAACATACAAATTAACTGTCTATGGAATTGGGAACTTTTTTTATTTTAGCTGAAACTACAAAGTGTGATTTCTGTAGTCAACATTTATTAGATTTGCAACAGACTGGAAGTATGGATCAGCTTATAACATAAATCTGGAGACATTGAAAGGCTGAATTTGATGGATATGTGAACATTTTAATTAATACTGCAGTTATGTATTATAGTGTAATTTAATTCCTCTTTTCCAAAGTACCTACTTCTAAAATGTTCCCTTGATACTCTCAGTATCTTTTGTATTGTTGGAACATTTATAATATCACTATATATATATATGCAAGTGAATTTACTCACCGTGCAAAGGGACATTTTCTAAATTTCTTTTTTTTTGTTTGTTTTTTAATTCTTTATTTTTGTCAATGACATAGACTGTGTCAATGTAACACTGTATGGCTTGTGCAAAAGCCTTGTTGCAGTAAAGATAACATTGTATACATGGTACAGAAAGGAAAATGGAGTGGTTAATACATGCAGTGGTTAATAAATGCAGCATGTCATTCAATACTGGGTGGTTTGTTCACAGTCAGTCAAGGTTTTTGTTTGTAAAATAACATACACTGGCATTCTGGCGCAACAATGGCCTTACAAACAATGACCGTTCCTTAATGAGTACATTGGACCCCGACAAGACGATATATAGTGGAGTTACAGAGTGCGAACTATCAGTCACGGGGTATGCCTTTGGCTTTGAAGGACCACTGTAGTGGTAAAGAGTTGTGTTAAGCTTCATCAGTGCCCCTTTTGCCTTCTGCCAGTTGTACATAACAAGAAACTTGTGTGGGATAGAAGAAAAGAAGAAAAAAAGCAAGAGAGTTAAAGAGAAGATAGTATAAGAAAAATAAAGTGGTCGAAATCTTTAAGGAGCTGAGCCCTGTGTAAATTATTTATTTATTTTTTCTTTATATTTATCTATTTATTTTTGTAATAGGTCAAAGTCTTGACAAAAGCAGTCTCGTAGATGCTCTTTGCATAAAGGCTCTGGTAACTAGGTACCCTTTCGTTGGTGGTGTCTCTGCCACCCGTCGGGGATCTGGTATGTCTATGGCAGCAGAGTGGGTCCCAGCTATCTCCGTCTATGAGTATTTTTTGGATGCCGCTCCGCGCCCCGGCCCCTATGTGTCGTATTGCTCCCACAGATCCCATACCTTGTGGAAAGCTGTCAGCGTGTTCCTCACTTGAGCGGTATCTAAATTTAGTTTTAATTCCAGTGAATAACACTTATCTCAATATCATCAATGAAATCATTAGTTGAAGAAATAGTGTAGCTCCAAAGTAATTATGCGTATACCTACAAAACACTGTATTTAAAAGGTACAGTCTAAATAAGCACCAAGGTGAATAAAAAATTAATAATTATATAAAAAAAAAAAAAATCAAAAACAAAATCAGAAAAATTCATCTTAAGATAGTTTCTGTTTAACATATATTGTAGTCCAATTGTATACAGCATGACGTAGGTATTAGTTAGGTAGCATGAGGCTACATAAAATATTTACGTTTTTTGGGGTAAATTAAATCCATTAATCCAAGGTAATTTAACATGTGTCTGCAGATAGACCAAACACTTATTCCACAGAAATGTATTATACAATAAACATACAATGTTTAGAAAAAGACCTAAAACCCACTGTTATTCTGAAAATCAGGGGTGCACAAAAAGGTAGATACTCTGATGTTATAGAACTACAACTCCCTTGATGTTGTGCATGCATTTGGAATGCCTTTAGAAACGGGGTGCTTAATACGTCGATCGTGATCGACCAGGCGATCACAAAGGCGATGCTGGTAGATTGCGGTTGGATCTTGACCGGCGGGAGCACAGAAAACCCCCGCCGGTCACTCTCTTAAACCATACCGAATGCCCGAGTATTTACCCAGTACTCGGCCGTTGTCCTCAGAGGGGATGGGAGCTGAGTGGAGCAGCATCTCTTTGACAGCTGTAGGGCGCTGGGATATAGGACCTCATATCCCGGCGGCCGAGTGCCGTGGGAGAGAGGAGGGCAGCTACACATGGTGGGACTTGTGTGGAGCAATTATAAGAAACAGTAAGAGTGTGTTTTTTTTTTCACTGTACCAAGACCACTTCATTGAGATGTAGAGGTCTAGTGCCCCTTTAAACTTTAAGGAAATGCAGAAACATGCAGAGTACCAATGACTTCCAACCTTAGGTAATGCATTAGGAGACTAACAATTACGGTTATCTCTCAAAATGGCACTGAAAAATACGTTATTTTAATTACTGGGTCCCCGGAAGTCCTGAATGCCCAGGCACCGAGTATTACAACTGCAGCATCAGCTTTACCTTGCTTGCCTATACACAAAGACACCTACTGACCTGCAGCATCTATTAAGGTGTCGGTAAGCTGGAAAGAGACTATGATAAAACAGACAGCTTGCAAAACATTGATATGGATTAATCCCATATGTCACTTGGCTGAGATATTTTAACAGTAAAAATTAGTATCCTGTCAACATATTTCTTTTTCAAGCTCTGCCATTCAGTCGCCATTAAAGTTGGGACTATTTGGTCACACGTACAGCAATGAAAATAGCAAACAGAATTGCGCATTAAATTCCAACTGCCTTGTCTTGACATTTTCTATAAAACATTTCTTTGCACACACTCAAAAAAACACAAGAGGAGCATCCTGTAGACTTGCAGTATCTTCTACAGACCTCAGTATTGCGATTCACAAGAGCAAAAAATGTATTATGGCTCCATTAAGTAGAGCTGCCCACCAAACCTTTCGCCCCAAAAACTAGGCTTTCATGACATAACACTCCCATTCCCGAAATAAAAGAAAACTTTAACAATGCATCAACTCAATGCAAAGAAGGACTTGACACACAAATGTGCTCACTTAAACCACATAGAAACAATATATAAGGAATGATAAATGGCTGTCTAGCCAGTTTCCTAGGTGGAAGAGTGCCAAGCTAGATAAAATTATAGGGGGAGGATACGGTCTAATGACAACAAAATTGCACAAGATCAGACCTCAGGGTAACAAGAGGATTAAAATTAACATTTTGGAGAATGCAAGGCCATTTTAAAGAACACTACCTTCCCCATAGCTGCTTCAGCTCAGTCCGGGTGCCATCTTTCTTTCAGGGGGTTAACCTATTGCAAAACAGTTGCCAAAAAAGTTGGTCCTATGGCGCATGGTACTTTTACTTAAGTATCTGTATATTTCAGACTTTAGTTTTAACTGTGACATAAGCACTTTGAGTGCAAAGTGACCAAAAATCCATAAAATCTGGAATTATTCCTACCTCCCAACATCCCTTACTGAACCAGGAAGTAACGACAAGTCATTAAGACACATGACGTGCTTGTTAGCCTATCCTTTAAGTGCCAGCAGGGAATAAATCTGTGCCAATGGGGACATCTAGGAATCACTAGATTTAGCGGCCCCATGCGGACAATGCGGCATACAACTCTTTAAGTCACCAAGAACGATGGTATTTATCCACAGTGACTGCCACGGACAGGGATTCCCAGGTTCACTCTGTTACAGGCGTCTGAAAAGATCCTGCATGTTACTTGTTTCTGCACCACTTCCATGTTTTATTGATATTATTATTGCTGGTATTAAATAGTGTCAACAATTTTGCGGCGATTTACAATATTATAAAGGGAGAAATTTGACAACAGATAAGACAATTACAATTGTTACAGGAGTTTAGGAGGACCCTGCTTGAAAGAGTATACAGACACAGGATATGTATTCATGTAGGGCAGGTGTCAACATTTCCACTGGTGAAAATCTAACCGTGGTGAGTAAAAATAAATAAATCACCCATTCACATGCTAAAGGGACACTATATTTTAGTGTCCTGGGTGCAATGTCCCTGTCCCACATAGTTCTTCAATGTAAACCATTGCAGTTTTTTTTAGAAACTGCAACTTTCCATTGCAGTACTAAGATAGCCTTTAGTGGCGGTCCACCAGACAGCCACCAGAGGTGCTTTTGGGAGTTTATTGGACTCTAGGTCACTTAACTAACGCTGGACGTCCTCACACTCTGCCTGAGGACATCCAGCGTCAGTGAAATCCCCACAAGAAAGCATTGAGTCAATGCTCAACTATGGGGAGGGCTTAATGCGCTCGCCACACATGCGTATTAGATCTCTCCATCGGATGACGGAGGAGGAGGCAGAGCAGGGTGAGTAAGTAAAGTTTTTAAAAAAAAACTCTTTATGACCTGCAAGGGGAAGCTGCGAGAAAGGTCAGGACAAGATGGCACTATAGTTTTAGGAATACAACTTAGTATTCCTAATACTATAGAATCCCTTAACGGACCACTATAGGCACCCAGACCACTTCAGCTCATTGAAGAGGTCTGTGTGCCAGGTCCATCTAGGGTTAATCCTGCAGCTGTAAACATAGCAGTTTCAGAGAAACTGCTAGGTTTACAATAGTGTTAATTCAGCCTCTAGTGGCTGTCTCATGTTTCTCACTGTGAAAATCACAGTGAGAAGACGCCGACGTCCATAGGAAAGCATTGATAAAGTATTACTGATGGACTGATGGAATGCGCGCGCGGCTCTTGCCGCGCATGCGCATTCAGCGTTGATGTCAAAAGAGGGT